ACTATCTGGTAGATAGCTCTACCAAGCTTTCGTAAACAAACCGGTCTCAGTTGGCGTCAACAGAATCGTGATAGCGGCTATTCATCGTCGTTTATTGGTTGAACGTTGATGATGCCGCGTTTTACGACAATGGGCCTAACTTGCGTAACTGTGGGAAAGGGATGATAACGTGAGTGGTAGTAAATCAGGGACATAACGTATGCTGCCAAAATCGTTCCACCCAAAATTCCTAAAGCAATATACATCTTCGTTTCCGGCAATTCCGAGAAAAAGAGAATCAAGATGGTGCCTTCGAGAGCAAACAAAAAGGGCACCAAAATCAGCGCATATCGAATAAATTTCCTAATTTTGACAACGTCTTCTTCTCTATGGAAGCACTTGTTTGGTACTTCTAGGCCTGATGTTGAAAGGTGGAAATGCCAGGGATACGATGTAACAAAGCACGAAACGCTGATGATACACCGTGTTCGACATGAACTCTTACGGAAAAACCAATGCATCAGGTTAACAATGGCAATGTAGTGGATAATTATGAGGTAAAAAATCACAACGTAATTGGACGCTAGTATAGCAAATGTGAGAAATCTTGCAAGCAAAAGAAGCAATTGCCAAAGAACAAATACAAAAGCCGACTTTTTAGGGTAAGTTGCCGGTGTCAAATCCTGTTCGACTCTTCGGTTGACCCAGTACGCTTTCTCGAGCAAATAAACGTTCCATAACATAGACAAGAATGATACCGAAATTGAAGCAATCCTGTACCAAGGAGGTGTACCACCACTATTTCGCATCACAATAACTTGGAAACAACACTGGGGTGCCGATTCGGCGAAAGCTTCCATATAACCCACTAACGTGGAGTCTAGCGTCGCCTTACAACTACTTTTAAAACGATTTATACAATCCGCGCATTCGCATTTTGAAAAGTGTTTGCCGTTGTGTGAATGTTCGCTGTCCTCTTTCCATCTGTATAATTCCTCGATAAACAGATGCACCATGGCCAAGTGAACGAAGCAGCTGGCAAATTTCAAAGTTACGTGTCCTTTTTTTAGGCTGTACGTCGCGAAGATATTGACGATGAACACTGGGATTGCTGTGAAAACCACGGTTGTTATAAATGGGGCAATCAGACCTTCTTTATAATACTGAATTGCGACGTAGATGTCGGAGCCAACGTCGGCAACGTACAATATGAAACCGAAAACCAGCGTCCCGAGCTTCCAATAAGCTCCCATGGTTGCTTGTCAGAGAGGATCTAAAATCTAAAAAATACAGAGGCAATCTTAGAATGAAATTTATATCTCAACTCAATGGAAGATTCAGCAGACATATTTTAAAAACTCACTGTTTGGCAAGAGTTTTGCTGCCAAATTTACTGTATGCGCTAATGTCCGTTAGCGGAAAGGAGTTTTCATGCACTCTTCGTGCATATAAACTATAATTATAAGGAATACTCGTCTATTGAGAGGCGCCAGCCGTTTAGCCCTTGTAAAACAACGTCCAGGCACATTCAAAACATGTTAAGATATAAAAATTATTTTGACAGAGCTAGGCTTTGAATAGTATGCATCCATAAAACTGATTGATCGCGACAACCTGACTGCAATAACTCTTGCGTGGGCCGTACACGCTGGCACTAGCGACGATATTGTTACCACAATTTACATGTCTGTCATTGTTGCATATATATATATATATATATATATATATATATATTTGCAAATCATACATGAATTACTTTTCTTTTTGCGGTCCGGATCGAAGCAGGTCCTTACCTAAATAACCAGGCCGGTTCCTAATTGTAAGACTGCATGACAAGTGAAAAAAAGTTTTGGGAAGGAAATCTGTTTAATTACAGTTTTGTTATAGTCATGTGGACCTTAAATAACGCTTGTTGTTTGCAGGACATAGGAAAAAATCAGCAGAAAGTTTTTGGAAAGCCTATTAGCATGTTCACAACATACGAGATGATATAGTTATTCTATGACAACTGTGTATGCAGTATAGCTACAGATACTACTTTCCAAATAATAGTAAGGTGCTACCCACAAGTTCATCTCATATTATCTTATACCACTTAGCTTTAGAGGCTGTTTACATGATCCCACTTAACGCGAGATTAAACAAAGCTTCAAATGACTTTGAGGTATGAAATGCGTATATATATAAGTATAACACGATCATGCATGCAGTGGCGTAGTCTTCACATGCACCAACAGCATGTTCTTGTTCCCTAAAGAACTATTTCAATACCTCAAGGCCATCTAATGCGTCGTTGAATACCGGGTATAACTGGCCAACAAACATAGGTCTACAAGCATTTTACTCGTTCACATCTATAAAAAGATGAAAATCGCAGAAAAAATCGCAAGTGCATGTAAACAGGCAAACAAGCACTTATTATACATGTCAAATGTCATGAACTTGAAGGGTATACACATATATTGATAAAATAAACACATCACAGGCATATACAATGATTAAAGCTCGAACACACAAGTATACACATGAGTAGGTTAAAATTATATTAAAGATGATAATAAATTTATAACCTTATAGGTTTTGTGCTGGATATCCATTCGTTATGACGATTGTAAACAGATTACTGTCCAACTGTTGCCTTACTTTATACTTACAATTTTGAACACTGGCGTGTGATTTTATAGCACTTTCTTATATGGAATAAATATATTAGCAGATAGTAACACTATTGCAGACATTTCCCGTATGCAAAGAAGTTTTTTAATTTACAATAATCGGTTATACACATGTATGTTTCGGCCAATCAGATCCCCAGAATTTGTCAACAGCCTCATGATATACCATACCGAGGTTGACAGGTGACAAATTAATATGTTAAATATAAGATCGCGGTAATTTTGTTTCAACAAAACGCTGTTAAAACACATTATGTTAAAACAAAATGACTCTGTTAAAACACATTTACAACTCATCCACTTAATTGCTTTTATATAAAGCAAAGGGAGGAATTCCGATTGAAAATTTGATCGTTTAATAGAGCCTTTAGAAAAGCGTTTGCGTGCACTTGCGGGTTAAATTCGTCAAAACAATAAGCTAATTTAGTTTCTTCTTTCAAAATAAAGAGTTGCTATAGCTTGTAAAAGCGTTGAATAATAACTAGATAATCCTCATATGCATTTGCTTTGCTATATACCTGCTTATTATGACGAATTAACCGAAACAATGAATGATTGCAATATATATCGAGAAAAAAGTAGCGCGTCCGAGGCTTCACGGCCCTAAAACAATTACTGTAAAACAAGATTCTCTCTCTTGGGGCGATAGAAAAGGCACCTTGAGTGTTCCTAAGAAATTTGTATAAAGACCACGTTAACACTCAGGGAATCTAATGCGTTGTTAAATAGCCAACGTACATACGCGGATGATTTATTTCCGGCTGCATGCTTGATAAACCCGTGCATTCTCTCTAACTTCGCGTCCCAAAAAAGCAAAGATTTAATATTGAAACGAACTATTACAGTTTCAATTATAACTTACCCAGGAAAGAATTCAGCACAATCCATAAGTGTATGATTCCCTGGACTGTTTTCAATATCCCCTCTCTGTTTTGTTACATTATAACTTCTCTACCTCTGATTCCGAGATTTCGTTGGCCTATACTGTTCCATGACATGATTAACCAATGAAATCTCGCCTTTCTTTGCTATTCCAGCAGGAAATCAGTAACAACACGAACGATTGCGCGAGGCTTATTCGAAAATTCGACAAAATGTCGAAAACTGTGGATTCTTTCTGACTTTTAGTGCTCGTGAAAAATAAAGTTTGTAGAAGCTTATTGTACGATGTTTATTAATTTTCGTGATTATATATTTTGCGAATTATTTAGCGTCAAACGAAAGGTCAAGGATATTTTAAAAAATATTAAAAAACTTTTTTTTTAGAAACTTCACGGAATATAACCATCCAGCACTTATGAACGTATTGAGCAATGTGCAAAACAAGCGAGATGGCAGCAACTGCACGTATCCTCACCTAGTTGATTTTAAGATTTTCTTATCACTGCCCATATCATCACAAGGGGAGGGGGGGGGTGGGGGGGGGGGCATGATAAAAATGGTCCTAATTGGAATTTGGTAATTTAAATACGGGGTATATGTGGGGGATCTGCAGAGATTTTTCTGTACTTTTGAGTCGCTATGACTTAATTTCCAGCATATTGGGGGACAATTACTGATGAATAATTATATACTAAAATTAAATATTAGATACTAAAATTAGGTTCTAAAATTAGGTATTAGGTATCTTCAATTTACAAAGTCTACAGGAAACAAATCAGATTCATACGAAATTCAATCAATGGCAACGAACCACTTGCATTATTGCCAACTTCTGACTTAGGTAACAAAAAGGGGAATGAATCACCACAGCTAAAAAGAGCGTACTGAAATAGTAAATTGCCAAATTTGGCTGCAAAATGTCATGTGTAGAACAGAAAATATAGCCATGCGAAGGAGGCAATATTTGTACACTTTTTGTATCACAGTCGGTAGTGTGTAATTAATTTAATCACACTTTTTCGGCCATAATATAAAAGTATCCAAAATTGCTAAATTCTTTTGGCTATATCTTCGGCACTTTACATTCTCTCGCTTCATTTTTGTCGCCTGAATCAAAATTTTTACAGTAGTCTATTTATAGCCGTTAGTAAAAAACTTGACATTTTTTCCTTGACAACTTGGTCAGCGTCACCTGGTAACATTATTAGATGACGTCACAAACATTGCTTTGAAACTACAAAACTTAACGAACAAACTTTCCCAATTCCACCGGACATTCTGGAGATCAGGAATTACACCCGGAACCCGGGAGAACATAACGGAATCCAAAGTTGTCCAAATTCTATGTTATCGACAATCGACGTTAATTGGGTGGTTTTGTAAATTATGCGCATGCGCGAGTAACGACTGGTAATCAACAAACGCTCGGATTTAATAGGCAAAATTACAATAATCGATCATGCATTAAAACTAAGGTATAAACGTTCTACAGACTATTTATAAAAACAGCTCAACTAGACTCACTAATGTTCGAGTTCCATTCAGACAAAGTAATGTCATTGGTTGATGTGAAGGACGCAGTCCTCCAATTTCGACTGCCACGAGCACGCACCACGAACACGCACCCTTACATCAAAAAATGTTTGTTCACATCTCTGCCAGAAACCTCTGCCAGATCTCTGCCAGAAACCAATGTCCACTCTGTCGTCATCGGCTGAATTTGCACTGGATGGATGAACTTCGCCAGTGAAAGGAGCAAGGGAATGTTCAATTGAAACATCGTAAGCAGCATCATCGATAGCAGCAGCAAGTGGATCACGAATCTCATAATTTATGTCTTCGATGGATAAAGCCTCCTTTCAGGCACGACAGGGAATGGTCCACCATGAACGATTTTTCACAGGTAACGCATGTAGATTGCATCAAATAACTCACGCTTGGTCAAGATGTAGCCCTCATCACCAAGTGGCAGAGCTGTCAGCCAAGCTGAGGATCATTTCAACTGGGCGAGGTCATTTGCTCGAATCTGCTCTTCACCTATGCTCGATCCCTAGTTCTGTAGCAGCAACGAGTTCCTAGCTTGAAGTTGTTTTGCAATCTCGCGACGAAGATCGTGGATGGAATCTCCATGTTCTGCTGATGGTGTACCATGATCGATGATTCTACTTGAGAGAACATGACAGATGGTTGTGGAGTTCAAATGCTCTTCATCACAGATGTCGTAAAGATCGGAATACCAAGACCTCCCATACGAGCTGGAAGGGAAACCAATTGTCGCTAATGGATGGACAAGCTACGGTTATCGAGGAGCGCAGGAAGAAGCTTCAAGTTGATTGTGTCGTGAACAAGCTGCATCGTGGTCTTGATACCTAGAACGGCACGAATGTGGTAAGTAAATCTGTGCCGAAAACCAGAGACAAACACCGTGTATGCTGCTTGGGGTTGGAATTTGGCAATATCACTAACAACGTGATGTTGTTTGCACCGTTAACTAACTAAACAACTAATATACTTATCTTTTCCGTCAATCGATCCAAGATATCCCCCAAGGTACTTATGCCCGTCACCTGAAATTCGTACATTAGTTCCAGCGAAGATCTCAATGGCAGCCTATTCCAGGTGTTTCTAATTAACGCGCGCCGACTCGTAATCAACAAATGAAAGTCGAATCACGTTGCACGCGGTTAACGGAAAAACGAGCACTGATGTACTAGTAACGGCCAAACACCAGCAAATACCAAAATAAATTGAGCAAAATTCCAAATTGATAAACAAGATGTCCAGGTATTTATTACAAAGTCCCAACGAATATATTGTTCACAAGTAATTCACCAAAAGCACGAATAACGCAGTTCACTCGCCGCAGATCCTATGATCTTAGTCGATGATTAGCAGCCAACTCTTCGAGAATGTCACACTTAATAATACGAAAACACTCATACAAATTACAAAATTAACTTCCACAATGTTAACGAAATTCTTACTTCTAATAATAATATGTGATCATGTTTCCAAATCTGATAAAAAAAGTGTAATAATATTTAAAAAAATTGCGAAGCACTATTTTCAGCGTTTTTACAGTTTACACCATAGCGACCGCTGACACTCCGATTGGGTAAGACAGAAAGTTTGTATTTCAAAGAACGTCTGCAAACTCCTCAAAAGATGTTAACAAATCCATGAACTCATTCAGGAGTAGAAAACATAAGGTGTACACGTTAAAATGTTAATACAGTTGCACTGTCGGCTTACGACGATAAGAGGGTGGTTATGGAAGATGGTGAAAGCACGATCGGACATTGGAGAATTTAAGTTTAGTTTCAAAATATTGAAAATAAACTTTACCAATCATTTTCAGGGGATGTTTCCTCCACGTCGCCAAGGTATTTTAGGCTGAGGACTTTCAAGCACAGGATTTCTCCCTTTTTCTCCCGAGTACGTTCCTGTGATCGAAAACTTGATCTTAACATCCTTTTTTGCTTCTCTGACAAGTTTTTGGAACTTAGCTAGATGATGTCATTGTAGAACGGATCCTTCGCATTTGTTTCACTTTGAACATCCTTGATCTCAGATCTGAGATCATAAAGAATTATGGGGATTTTGTACTTCTTATACTTGTTATCATATTCCACCCCCAAAGTCACAACATCTTCGAGGTCAAAAGTTTTGGGTTCTGAAAATTCGGTAAACATCTTATTTATTACATGTATTTTTTCTTTAAATACTGTTTGGTGATTTATCATTTTCGGAAAATGGAAATATTAATTGGAAATAATAATGGGAAATAATTGAAAGAAATTGAAAAAAAAATCAAAGTGGGGCAGAACCCCTCTTTCTACTACTGTTTTATAGCAGGCATCTGTCGCACACATTTTTCTCCCTCCCCGGCACAGCTAACCCAAGCCATATAGTTATAAAGCCTAATATAAATACATAAGAGATGCCTGCGGAGAGGCTAAAAACTATAAAGAGACATCCTAAAAGTGGCATTTCCGCCGTTTAAATTTTAATTGAATAAAATCACAAAAACAAACCATTTCTTCATTTTACAATTGAACGAAGCTGTACAAAATTTTCAAAAAAAAATTCTGTGCGTTTTTTGATGAGGTCATATTGGAAAAAATCTTTGTTTCACAGCTCACGAATTCATTCGAAAGCAGTCCAGCGCTATACTGTTGCGCTTTTTGTGTTTAGGTGTACACCTGTAAAAGCTTAAAAATGTAGCAATGTAATTAATTTTTTGAACAACGAATGATCCATGACTCCTTCGACGCAATGGCATCACGGCCAAATCTGAGTGCATTTGTATTGGAGGACACGCGATTCCGAACGAATAAATCTTGCTTGTTTTCTGTAACTAATAACACTTCGTTTCATAATAAACAATTTGTCAAGTGTCATTTATTTACTGCTAATAGTGCATGTTTTAGTTCAAAAAGCTTGATTGTTATTTCATACAGCGTTTTTGCATAATTTAAACACATCCAGAATTATGCTACCGATTTTGAACATTAATATCTCCGTAAATTTTTAAATAATATACAACTGCAATATATTAAAGTCTAAGTTAGTCTTCCATCTATCTAGTGAAAGTTATTTCAGTATAATAGCTTAGCTAGTTTAGAAGTTATTATGAATCAAACCGGAGTACTTTTTTCTGGCACACCCGGTAGATTAACCTGTACCTGGGTTAGAGAGGTTAGAGATATATGCACCAAAGGTTTCTGTATTAAGTTCTGTATTAATCAGAGAAAAGATCCGACGTAAAACACTGAAAATCAACTTCCCATTTGAGTGGAAATACCACTATGAAAACTTTGTGAGAAGATTGAGATCTCCCATGCACTCAATGACTGAGGAGAAGACAAATTTCTCACCAGCTGTGGCCAAGTATTGCATTTCAGAACTCAAGGGTAGCTAGCACTAGGGCTGTGCAAGGTATATCAGAATGACGGACACGCAGAAGCTTTCCGTACATTACAGTAGCTTTCATCAAAGTAAAACCACGCATGAGGAGAATTGAAGTAACGCATGAAATATCATTATTGTATATCTGAATCGACAAATTGTATAGAATTCAAGTTACCTTCAAAAACTTTCGTTCTGTAGTTTTTTCATTTCAATCATTGGAAGTACATGTCTGCGCTTTAGATGTTAGGTGTTTTATCCTGTCAAGATTAGCCACTTGAAGTCCATACTCGTCTCCAATGCCTCCCATAGAAACAGAAGTATTATGGTACTCCATTTTGGAAGGAACATTAGTCCTAGCAGAGCCGTGAAACTCTCTCGCTCCAGTCTCTTGCAATATCCCTAATAAATTATCTTCATTTATACCGCCACCTATAAGCGAGGAAGAAAACATTATGCATGAACATCACTGGCTGTTTTACGGTGATTCACTAGTATTTGAAGCTTTTTTACATTAAAAATTAAGTCGTCATAGGCCTAAATGCTGCATTAAATTCTAGAACTACCCATACCTGGTATTAATTAAATGTTGTTAGCAGAAACACACAATTATCGTTGAGAAGAAAGTGGAAACGTTGCAAAAAAATCGAACCTGAACTCTACGATCCTGGAGATATATAAGAGCACTGCTCCGTAGTCGCATAAAAAAAGGTTGGATAGCTATATAAGTTGTATTTTTTGCACCGTTTCCGTTTCTGTTTTTGTTTTATGATCCAGTGTTCCTACGTTCCTAAACTATCTTCGGGATTGGACGTCATCAACTCTAGATGCTGTTTGCTTAAATCTGTGTTGATGCATGTTAGCTAAAAAAAACGCGAAAATTTCCTGACAATACTTAGCGCACAATAAGTATACGTGCACAGTGCAACATACCTGGCATTATGATAATCCGTGTTGCCGCCTGCAGAAAGAAATAGATGTCTTTAGGTCTATTTTTTGCGTCATCAAAATACAATATAGTATAATCGAGCAATTGTCAACTCTAGATGCTGATTAGCTATATCTGTGTTCATGCATGTTATCTTAATGAAAACCTAAAAATTTCCTGACAATTATATAGCTACTTGTTTTAACAGTTTCTATTATCTTTTATTTGTATACTTCTTAAGTTAAAAGACAGAACAGATTTGAGGCATTGACAAATTTGAATTCAGTTTTCACCAAAAAATATACTTATAATTGATATTTATAGCACACTTTATATAATTTATATATAATTTCGTGCTTACGCAAAATCGTAACCCCAGTCCTCCCCGTGCACCCTCAGTTATCGCACTACAAAACAAGTTTGCACATTTATTTTCGACACGGCCCTGGGTCGGAGATCGAGATAAAGAGACATGCTTGCGGTAAAATTGAGAAAATAACACATGAAATACCTGAATAACAAGACTTTTTAGGCGAGATGCTCCCTCAAGTACGCTAGACTTGCCCCCACTCGTTAGGATACGATCAAAACCCAAGTTTATGATCACTTCTAAGGAAGACCTCTGATCATAGACCATATCAAAGGCTGTAGGAAATACAATAAAATTTACAGGTATAACTTAATGAGATATTTGCTAATTTTTTCAGATCGGTGGGAAAAATTGAGGTAAAAACTTTCATACATTAGGATCTAATTTGTAAGTCTGCCACCACAGTTCCCAATTTTACCTCGATGAAATGTCGCGGAAAGCGGCTTGATGATATCTATATGTAAACGTAAATTAAAGCACAATAAATTATATGGTTAATGCTTCATATATGATTAAAAACCAAAACCAAATGAAAGGTAGTGACAAGAAAGTAACCATTCAAAAGGCGAGATTGAAGATTTTAAATTGTAGGTAATTTTGTGAAGAATTGCTTAGCTGGGCCATATTGTACAAAACATTTGAAGTAGTTAAATCGTAGTTAACTAGAAAATACGTATTCTGATTGGCCGATTCTGACACTAACTATAGTTAAAAGTTATAACTACCTTTTTATACAACCGGCCCCGACATGAAATACGATAACTGACAAATGCTACAAATGCATTTTTTGTATTAAGATATACGCACAAAATTTTGTGTATTAATAATTATCTTTGGCACAATGTTCCTCACGTCAATTGCCCATAAATTTCTTTAAAAAAATAACCTACCTAATAAGGTTTGACAGCGAGGAATATCGACTTCCCCTTTTCTACAAAAAAATTGTATATTACAGTAACGTGCATGCACATTTGCGAAGCTTAGTAGCAAGAGCAGTGTCTCACTGAATCGTTATATGTAGATTAGGAGAACGAAATCCATTGGAATGAAGCTTTTGTTGGAATTTGAATGTATGATCAACGCAGTAGTGTGTAAATAGCATTGTTATTAGGTTGAGGCATTCAAATAAATCGTCTTGCTTTCAATTGGGTTTATTCAATTAACAATTTTTTTTGCTTGATTTTCTTTGCATTTTCTATAGGGTTGAATTATGACAATTGAAAACAAAGCGAAAAATTTGGTAATAATTCCATGTCCAGTATACACCAATATGCATAAAACAACACCCTTTTTTAAACATCTATTGTATCATATCATGCAGTATGATACTATATGATACAGTGCGATACGGTATGATATAGCAGGATACTATATGATGCTATATTATACGATATGATATAATATGATGCCATATGATACGATATGATACAGTATGATATTGTGAAATGCGACACTGTGGAAACTTGGTGAGAAAAAAGAATTATAAATATTCAAGAAAATATGTCTTGCACAAAAGATTTGAAGCTTGCACACGGTAAAAACAAATCGTCTGAATTAATAGCCTTGCGTATACTTTAAGCTTCAAAATGCATATTTAGAAGAAGCTTCAGAATGCGTATTAAAAAGAAAAATTGAACTTTTTTAATATATTCAAAAGATTTCCCTTTGATAGCGGTACAGAAATGCACAATTGTGAACCAGCGATTAGATTTTCGGGTTGAAACTTCTTAAACACCAATTTCTGCGGTGTCGTATGATGCTACATGATGCAATATGATACAGTATGATACGGTATGATATAATATGACCCTATATCATACGGTGTGATATAGTATGATACTAAATGATACGGTGTGATATAGTATGATGATGCTAAATGATATATATGATATGATTGATATATATAATTATGATGCAATATGATATAGTATGATACGGTATGATACAGCAGGGTACGGTATGATATAGTGTGATACTTTTTTTTTGTTCTGTACGGACCGCGCGAGATTTAAAAGCACGGAGCCAACGCTAAACGTTGCCAACGCTCGTGACAAGAGCATTACACCGGCATCGCAAAAGCGTAGGTTCGACTCTGGCCGGAGGACCGATAGTTGACTCATTTTTCCATCAACTGTTCCTGGCTTGATTTGAAGTGTGTATAATTCCACTCGAAGTTAAGACCCTTTCAACCTCTAGAATTTACCAACATCGAGTGAAGTGCGAAAAATATTAATTGATACAATAGGGGTATAAAATAGGGTGTTGTATGTATGCATGTTGGTCTACACTGAACATGGAATTATTACCAAAAATTTTGTGTGAGCCCCCTCGGGGCTGCATGTATGAATACGATTATATAGAATAGTTACTTTGTGAGAATACCAAAAACAACGCCATCAGCCCCTGCTTTGATTAGTTCTTTACAATCTTCGATCATTACTTCAAACTCTGCGTCACTGTATAGAAAATCTCCCCCTCTTGGTCTGATCATTACATAAACAGGTAATGAAACATTGCACTTGATTACTTTCAGCAAACCTTAAAAATAAAGTTTATTTCACAGCATGTGGGACAAAAGAGGGACGAAAATACGGTAGCCAGAAATTGTATATAATTTATCCAATATAATACGACGAATCGTATTACCGACCAGTGGCGTAGCCAGCTTGACAATTTAGTCATGCTATGCCAATATTTTGGTGTTCATTGAATTTGAAAACAATGAATTTCTAAATAATTAATTTTATTCATTCTACAGTATAATGGGCTTGAAATTTACATAGCAATTTTTAAAGCATTTCAGGCTGGCTACGCCACTGATCTCAACTATACGCCTACAGTTCAAATGATACGCCCTTCCTTCTTGAGTGAAATGCATTAGCAAACAATTCGAAAGGTAGTCATTAATATTTACTATTTATTGATTCTAATAAATATCCCACAACCAAACGTCTATAGGTGCAATCGTCGTTAGGGTGCGCAGGTAAAATGATAAATACATGCAGGGTGTTCAAAAAGACCCCGAAAACTATTGAAAGCACCAATATAACAAAGTAATTTTTAGGGCCTAATCCCACGGACGCCTTTTCTCGGCCAAATGCGAAATATTTCGCCAGTTTCTTTTGAATTTCGACCACTTGAATGAATTAATTCTAATTGAAAATTTAGCCCGTGGAATTAGGGCTTTAGAGTTTGAATGCCTAAGCACTCTGTTGGGATAATATCGCAATAAAAACTCGGTGTTCCGCAGTCAGCTGTACTACAGGGTGTCCCAAAAAAAACGAAAGCTATTGAAATCACTCATTGTTAAAATTTGAATGCCGTGTTCCCGAATTTCAGCCCGTGGGGATTTAATGCAACTTATAAAATGCTAAATGCTTTGTGTTGCTAGAGAAAGGGGACATATCGAAGGTCATGGTCCTTGAGATGCACATTTAAATAATGTTATCCATATTTGTAAATTGTAAATATTGTTAATAAATATCATTTTTGCGAACAAGCAAATTTGACTGCATCATACGCAATCATAAAAATGCTTATGGCAACCCCGATTTATACATTTGTGGGCCCAACAGAGTGCTTGGGCATTCAAACTCTAACAATGGCATTGTTATGGGTGATTTCAATAGTTTTCTTTTATTTTGGGACACCCTGTATGTTCTTTCGAAGCAATAACAAGGCTAATTTAAATTTAATCATATAACATATTAACAATTTCAAATTGTTCGTATTTAGCGTTTTATAAGTTGTATTAAATCCCCACGGGTTAAAATTCGTGAACACGGCATTCAAATTTTAACCATGAATGATTTCATCATCATTTCACCATCAATTATGGCCCCGTTTACACTATACCAGATTCACTAGCTAGGATATCTTTGTTTGCCTTCAAAGAGCAATGGTTAGTACCAAATGCTTATTAGTTTGATAGATTTCGTATATTTATGTCGATCTCTGACAGAAAAAAAGTGAAGTAATTTGAGGTAATTTGTTTATTAAATGTGTATAGAAATCAATTTGATAACGACACGCTATTAAAATACATTATATACGCTATTAATATACGCTATTAAAAACACAGCGAGCAAAAAAAATCGAACATTTTAGCATAAAATAGCTATTTTTTAAATAGCACACTCCCTACATCTATAAGAAATGATGCACCGTTCTTTAGAAATGTAAATACACATGAATTATTCACACACTCTAGCTACAATAAAATTAATACAATATGCAATATTCAGCTCACTCATATAGTTATGTGGATGTATACTTTATGATTGCAATATACGATATAATCGCAAATGTTATAAATATGTTCCCTTTCATCAAAGACAGGAAAAACTTAACTTACCCGACAGCTATTCAATAATATACGCTACTTTTTCTTTTTTTTGAAGCTATATGTGCAAACCATTGAGCGAACTATACACGGTCCTCCTCGTGGTGGCCTGTTTTCACGCGTATTATCTGTTTTACAGGAACTAAATGAGTAATTTAATTATTCAAACCGGAAGCAACAACGAAACACAAAAATTACGTAATCTTACTTTACAGTCGGTTTCATGACAAATGGAGTACAGCATTGGCTTTAATTGGATTCAGTTGAACTACACAACGTAGGTGGTCCGTTGTATGAAAGCTGGATAGAGCTATAAACCGGATACAGGATACGGTATACTCATTATTAACCCCCTCTCTTTGTAAACTCAAAAAACATGTCTGTTCTGCCGAACTACTCGCTGTTGTAGTAAACATTTGGCTTAGTATTGCCGTCGATAGTATTGTGTTCATACAGTAAGTTCATACAGTTGAACTTACCGAACATCTTAAAACTTGCTGTGGTCCGTGCTCTCAATCAAGCCTCCCCCCTCTAGAGAATAAGGTAGTGGTTTCTACCATCGCTCGGAATTTGCCTGTTGTTTAGCGTAACTTTGATTAAACCTTAGATTTTAAATTTGGGGTTCTCTCTCATAACCATTAGCTCTAAATCTATACTTTAATTGTTTCAAGCACCTTCACAAAGGTTGGAAACATCACTATCTGGTAAATAGCTCTACCCAGCTTTCGTAACCATACCGGCTTCAGTTGGCGTCAACAGAATCGTGATAGCGGCTATTCATCGTCGTTTATTGGTTGAACGTTAATGATGCCGCGTTTTACGACAATGGGCCTAACTTGCGAAATTCTGGTGAAGGGATGACAACGTGAGTGGTAGTAAATCAGGGACATAACGTATGCTGCCAAAATCGTTCCACCCAAAATTTTTAAAGCATCATACGCCCTCGTTTTCGGTAATTCCGAGAAAAAGAGAATCAAGATGGTGCCTTCGAGAGCAAACAAAAAGGGCACCAAAAACAGCGCATATCGAATAAATTTCCTAATTTTGACAACGTCTTCTTCTTTATGGAAGCACTTGTTTGGTACTTCTAGGCCTGATGTTGAAAGGTGGAAATGCCAGGGATACGATGTAGCAAAGCTCGAAATGCTGATGATACACCTTGTTCGACATGAACTCTTACGGAAAAACCAATACATCAAATAAACAATGGCAAAGTAGTGGATAAGTATGAGGAAAACTATTACAAAGTAATTGGGCGGTAGTATAGCAACTGTGAGACATCTTGCAAGCAAAAGAAGCAATTGCCAAAGAACAAATACAAAAGCCGACTTTTTAGGGTAAGTTGCCGGTCTCAAATCCTGTTCGACTCTTCGGTTGACCCAGTACGCTTTCTCGAGCAAATAAATGCTCCATAACATGGACAAGAATGATACGGAAATTGAAGCAATCCTGTACCAAGGAGGTGTACCATCACTATTGCGCATCACAATAACTTGAAAACAACACTGAGGTGCCGATTCGGCGAATGCTTCCATATAACGCACCAACGTGGAGTCTAACGTTGCCTTAGAGCTACTTTTAAAACGATTTATACAATCCGTGCATTCGCATTTTGAAAAGTGTTTGCCGTTGTGTGAATGTTCGCTGTCCTCTTTCCATCTGTATAATTCCTCGATAAACAGATGCACCATGGCCAAGTGAACGAAGCAGCTGGCAAATTTCAAAGTTACGTGTCCTTTTTTTAGGCTGTACGTCGCGAAGATATTGACGATGAACACGGGAAGGGCTGTGAAAACAACGGTTGTTATAAATGGGGCAATCAGCCCTTCTTTATAATACTGAATTGCGACGTAGATGTCGGAACCGACGTCGGCAACGTACAATATGAAACCGAAAACCAGCGTCCCGAGCTTCCGATAAGCTCCCATGGCTGCTTGTCAGAGAGGATCTAAAAGCTAAAAAATACAGAGGCAATCTTAGAATGAGACTTATATCTCAACTCAATGGAAGATACAGCAGACATATTTTAAAAACTCACTGTTTGGCAAGAGTTTTTCTGCCAAATTTACTGTATGCGCTAAGGAAAGGAGTTTTCATGCACTCTTCGTGCGTATAAACTATAATTATAAGGAATACCCGTCTATTCAGAGGCGCCACCGGTTTAGCTCTTGTAAAAAAACCTCCACGCACATTCAAAACATGTTAAGATATAAAAATTATTTTCTCAGAGCTAGGCTTTGAATAGTATGCATCCATAAGACTGATTGATCGCGACAACCTGACTGCAATAACTCTTGCGTGGGCCGTACACGCTGGCACTAGCGACGATATTGTTACCACAATTTACATGTCTGTCATTGTTGCATAGTATATATATATATTTGCAAATCATACATGAATTATTTTTCTTTTTGCGGTCCGGATCGAAGCAGGTCCTTACCTAAATAACCAGGCCGGTTCCTAATTGTAAGGCTGCATGACAAGTGATAAAAAGTTTTGGGAAGGAAATGTGTTTAATTACAGTTTTGTTATACTCATGTAGACCTTTAATAACGCTTGTTGTTAGCAGGACATAGGAAAAAATCAGCAGGAAGTTTTTGGAAAGCCGATTAGCGCGTTCACAACATACGAGATTATATAAATATTTTATGGCAACTGTGTATGCAGTATAGCTACAGATACTACATTCCAAATAATAGTAAGGTGCTACCCACAAGTTCATCTCAAATTATCTTATACCACTTAGCTTTAGAGGCTGTTCCCACTTGACGCGAGATTAAACGAAGCTTGGAATGACTTTGAGGTATTACATTTTGAGGTATATATATATATATATATATATATATATATATATATATATATATAATATATATATATATATATATATATATATATATATATATATATATATATATATATATATATATACCTCAATATATACAGTAGGAGGCAAAAGTTTGAGTCCAGTGACTGTATTTCTTTGTTTCAGCAGCATATATTAATATTCTACAGAAAACCTTACCGATAAGTGAACTAGAAAAAAGTAAACAAGTAAACAGAAAAATACATGCTGTACAACAACTATGAGATGTTATGATATTCATTTTTACGTATTTTAATGTGCAAACATGCATTTACATGTCATTGCTTAGTTCCCTCTTTTTTGCTCTTGAAATGACCTTTATTCTTGCTCGCATAGATTCCATAGGTTTTTTAATGTCACACGTTCAATACCTTGCCAGCATTCGTTGACCACTTGCCTCAAGTCAGCCTGGCTGGCGGGTCTGTGCCTCGCCCTCTTCCGGTTAAAACGGTTCTACAAGTGCTCCATAGGTTTTAGATCTGGAATATGAGGTGGAAAGCCATGACAACGAGATCACCAGAATGAGTTTGCTTCTAAACGATTTCTGGCACATAGAAGATGTGCATGTGCTAGGGTGATTATCATGTAGTTAGACGTGCGATCATCTTTGTACCAGATGAAATTCCATGTCCTTGAGAGAATTGGATGATACTTTTCTTTAATTAGGATCCTATTATATCTTTCAATATTGCCAAACCGAGCATGACCAAAGCAGCTAAAAGTTTGCTTGAGTAGGATTTAGTTTCTTCGAACCTCTCCAAGGTTAGTTGCATACCACCTTTTTAAATTCTCACTTCTTCTGCGATCTTACGAGGAAAGAATCCTTCAATACTTAATGGAACTATTTGTCCTTGTGCACCATCACTTTGCCCTTTTTCCTACCCATCTTGGGCAGTGTAAAGGAATGAGAACTTTATTTTGTTATAATTTAGATCATTAGGACCAAAACAGTGTGCAATTAATATAGTTTACAGTACTGAAACACTAGCACGCATGTCTTAACTCCAATACGCTGCCAGGATTTAATACTGGAATTCTACAACGACTGGACTCAAACTTTTTCCTCCTACTGTATATATATATATGAAACTCAGAGTAGCGATGCCAATTTTTTAAGAATTATGTAAATGAATAAATATAAATTGCTCTATTTGCTTGCAGTATTGAGCACTCTTTTATCTCATACGAAGAATTTCTTAATAATTGTTTATATAAGTATAACACGAACATGCATGCAGTGGCGTAGTCATCACATGCAACAACAGCATGTTCTTGTTTTGTTCCATAAAGAACTATTTCAATATACCTCAAAGTCATCTCATGCGTTGTTGAATATTGGGTTAAACACATGCGTTTTACTCGTTCACATCTATAAAAAAATCAAAATCCCAGCAAAAATCGCAAGTGTAAACAGGCAAACAAGCACTTATTATACATGTCAAATGTCATGAACGTAAAGGGTATACACATATATTGATAAAATAAACACATCACAGGCATATACAATGATTAAAGCTCAAACACACAAGTATACACATGAGCAGGTTAAAATTATATTAAAGATGATAATAAATTTATAACCTTATAGGTTTTGTGCTGGAGATCCATTCGTTATGACGATTGTAAGCAGATTACTGTCCAACTGTTGCCCTATAGTTTACACTTACAATTTTAAACACTGGCATGTGAATTCATAGCACTTTCTTATGTGGAATAAATATTAGCAGATGGTAACACAATTGCAGACATTTCCCGTATGCAAAGAAGTTTTTTAATTTACAATAATCGGTTATACACATGTATGTTTCTGCCAATCAGATCCCCAGAATTTGTCAACAACCTCATGATATACTATACCGAGGTTGACAGGTGACAAATTATATGTTAAATATAAGATCGGCAATTTTGTTTCAACGAAACGCTGTTAAAACACATTATGTTAAAACAAAATGACTGTGTTAAAACACATTTACAAATCATCCATGCACTTGCTTGTATACAGTAAAGGGAGGAATTTCTGATTGAAAATTAGATCGTTTAATAGCGCCTTTAGAAAAGCGTTTGCGTGCACCTGCGGGTTAAATTCGTCAAAACAATAAGCTAATTTAGTTTCTTCTTTCAAAGTAAAGAGTTGCTATAGCTTGTAAAAGCGTTGAATAATAAATAGATAACCCTCATATATATGCATTTGCTTTGCTATATACCTGCTTATTATGACGAATTAACCTAAACAATGAATGATTGCAATATATATAGAGAAAAGTGGCGCGTCCGAGGCTTCACGAACCTAAAACAATTACCGATTCTCTCTCTCTCTCTTGGGGCGATAGAAAAGCACCGATGGAAACACTGTAATCCCATGGTCGGTTATAGTCAGAGTGTTCCAGCTGCATGCTTGATAAACCAGTGCATTCTCTCTAACTTCGCGTCCCAAAAAGCAAGGATTTAATATTGAAACGAACTATTACAGTATCAATTATAACTTACCCTGGAAAGAATTCAGCACAATCCATAAGTGTATGATTCCCTGGACTGTTTTCAATATCCCCTCTCTGTCTCGTTGCATTATAACTTTTCTACCTCTCATTCCGAGATTTCGTTGGCCTATACTGTTCCATGACATGATTAACCAATGAAGTCTCGTATTTCTTTGCTATTTAAGCAGGAAATCAGTAACAACACGAACGATTGCGCGAAGTTTTGTCGAAAAATTGGACAAAATGTCGAAAACTGTAGATTCTTTCTGACGTTTAGTGCTCGTGGGAAAGTTTGTAGAAGCTTATTGTACGATGTTTATCTCGTGATTATATATTTTGCGAATTATTTAGCGTCAAACGAAAGGTCATTAGTTTCTATTGAGAAACTTCACGGAATATAACCATACAGCACTTTGCAACGTATTAAGCAATGCGCAAAAAAGCGAGACGGCAGCATTTGCACGTATCCTCACCTAGTTTATTTTAAGATTTTTTTATCACTGCCCATATCATCACAAGGGGAGGGAGGGGGGGTTTGCATGATAAAAATGGTCCTAACTGGAATTTGGTAATCTAATTATGGGGTAATTGTAGGGGTTCTGCAGAGATTTTTCTGTACTTTTGAGTCCCTATGATTTAATTTCCAGCATTTTGGGGGAAAATTACTGATGAATCCATCTCAGCAGAGTTAGGTCTGTTTAGAAAACACCATTTATCACTGCATATTTTTCATTTTATCACTGCACATTCTACTTTTATCACGGCATAAATTGTTTATCACTGCACACTAAAATTAGGTATGTAATAAACCCTCAATTTACAAAGTCTACAGGAAACAATTAATCAGAATCAATGGCAGTGGACCACTTGCATAATTGCCAATTTCTGACTTAGGTAACAAAAAGGGGAAAGAATCACCACAGCTAAAAAGGGCGTACTGAAATTAGTAAAATTGCCAAGTTTGGCTGCAAAATGTCATGTAGAAAATATGGCGTTGCGAAGTAGGCAATATTTGCACACTTTTGTATCACACTTTCCGGCCATAATATAAAACTATACAAAATTTGCCAATTTCTCTTGGCTATATCTTCGGCAATTTACATTATTTCGTTGCCAAACTTGGCAAGTTTAGTATGCTCTTCTCAGAAATCCCCTTTTGTCACCCGAATAAGAAATTGGTCTATTATGCATGAGGTCCATGCAGTTTAGTGTGTACTCCCCTATACATAAATGTTAGGTAACACCTACCAATACTTGGCGTTGTGCCTCCTTCTGACAGATTAGAACATAACTCAATACGTTTTGCACCTTAGAAATAGACAGACACTGTTACAATCATCTGATTTCTTTTATGGCGTCTATCACAATTGCATGAAAGGAATCTATAACCACTAAAAGGATCAAACTAAAAATCGTCTGTCTGGACAAGCTATAGTAATCTGTTCATTTTTTTCGAAAACATAAACGCTCAGTTTTGCGTACAAGTTTATGGGGTCATTAGTTCGTTACTTTCCGCGGAGCTATTGTCATTCCAATGTGTTTCCTAGTGGTCAATACTATCACGTGATTTGCCCCGTACAAAAACACGAGTGAGTTGCCCCATACAAAAACACGAGTGAGTTGCCCCATACAAAAACACGAGTGAGTTGCCCCATACAAAAACACGAGTGAGTTGCCCCATACAAAAACACGAGTGAGTTGCCCCATACAAAAACATGTGATTTTTCAAATGACATTTTTCTCACACCATAAGAAAATTATCTCGAACACGGATTTATTCGGAGGGGGTGTGTATATATTGTAGCGAATTCAAATTAGCATTTTAACCAAAATATGGTATAGTCTCGAAAATCCATACTTGAATAATATTAATTTGAATGTTTATAAAATGCTGAAATATATTATTCCGTTTTTCTTTCCAAAGAGTTAAGTTATGTGTAAAATGTCTCCTTATGTGCTCAGTTACGTGTTATAGACGTATTTTTCAGCAGGCATAAAACCGCCATTAAGGTTATAATCCGCACGTATAACAGGCAAAATCATAAAATGCTCTATAGAAGAAGGAAATATATATTGAAAGACCAGTGGCAAAGGTCTGATTTTGTCCTGCTATGTAAATTCAGTGTCAAAATTTTACCAAAATTTTGATGCAGCAAGCAACTAAAGCAAACCTCACATAGTTTAGAGTCTGTGTTAGTTTAGAGTTACAAGCTAAAACAGAGGTTCAAATTTATAACACGACATTGTAGATGTATCAAAACCTTTTGGTCAGTTAATTAGCACTATTATGGAGCTAGGTCTGGGTGCACACTGGCAAATACCATACTTTTAGCATTGGAATACTCACACACTAGCTATAACATTTCAACACATTTTATCTAGAAGTACTATAATTCCCAAGTACACAAGTACTAAATTCCCTCATATATTTCCACACACATCTAATTAACTCACGACTCAAAACTAGACTCCCTCAATATTTCTGATCTACAACCAAATTTTACAAACCAATGCCATGAGGCGATTCGAATATGTTTTATATAATTTCTTATTGATCATACATAAAGTTAATATGAAACACCAACCAGGTGGTGATTTACACCTGACAATCTGGAATTTAATTTTGGGTAGCATGACACAATTGGTGTATACATGAATATGTAATGTAACTGTTACTGAAGTAAATAAACCTTGATGCATCACTACTGGTCAGGTTTAGTATTAAGAGGCTATGACCGGAAAACATTTTTTACCATTTTTACCTGGTATACATTAAATGAAGGCTGTTAATTATTGACTAATTTTACGAATGGCTTAATTACTTCTCATGTAATACATCATATGCCATTAATATTACTACATGCTATCATAATAGATGATTGATGATAGATGTTTACCTCATGTGTAAAAGTGTTCCAAGACAAATAAATTAGTGAATAATAAAATGGCGGGGCATTAACAAAAAAAGGCAGCAATCTTAATGGCAAGTTAAGTGTATGTGATATTCATTGTGATATTTGTTATTTGACATTATGCCATTGCTTTCATCAGCTATTTTGCCAATGTTTTGAGCAGATAAAATAGTATTTGAAAGTAAATTTCCTAATTTATGTTATTTTATATCTCACTAATTTCTACTAAAGCAGAAATGATAAGAAATGTGCAGGAATTAAGTGCTCCATGTGTATCGCATGTATATTTTGGGAAATTTGAGAACTTGAAAACAATATCTAGTTACACTTGATTATACATAATCTGTGATGCTATCCAGATCATACCCTGGTCCTGCAATTTAAGCTTGGCAGGAAGATGGTATATGATCATTGAAATATTTTGTAAATAATGTGTCATACTAAGGTATACTCCACGGATACCTATTGCAAGTTGGATAAACATTTGTTGCGAATAAACAAAGATATAGGGGAGGTTTTACATCAAGTTGACAGGAATTATGACTTAAAACTTGTTTCCATGTATTGTTATTTCAATACAAGCATCAGGTGATATATATAGGAATACATTCTGATCTTGACTAGCAGGAAATTACATTTTCATGAGCAAATGTCCCGATTTATAAATAACGCAAACAAAATTTCTTCGATCAGATTCATTAATACTTTGCAAAACCCCACATACCTCCTTTTTCTGCATTTTTTGCCGATAGAACAGAGTCAACGCACACCTCCATTATTTCACCAAGTGTTGGTACGATGAACCATAGGAGACCCAAGAGGCGAGATGCTATTTTAAATAGTGTCTATTCTAAATGCCTAAAACGATCAGGTTGATTCAATATTGATATGAACAGTATGGAGCAATGTTGTGCCGCCCACATTGTTTACAGTTGTTAACGTTCTAACGGATCCTAAGGCTCACATCAGTACGATAGCACACCAGCTCTTACACTATATTTTTGCCCGCTGCCGATCGGTAGGGATGGAGACGGTATCCGAGCGAAACGGTCGGGCTAGGGGTGAAACGGTGTTTCTTTTGAGTTTGCTGTTTTCGGTGCAGATAATAACTCAACGAACCATGCTATTTTAACGGTACCTCCTCCATCCCGTGATCAACTGTCACACGTGAGTCACTGAAGTGAAACCGTGGAATAAACGATACGAACATCAAAGTACACACACACACAAAACAAAACAAAAAAAACCTGTAAATGTGGCGATCATTAATGAATTTATCTTTACCCCAAACACCCATTCCACGACCAAAACGGGTGTGAAAAGAATTGTGCTTAATCCTGCAAAACAAACTAACAAAAAAAAACAAACCCCAGCGAGATTAATAAGACGTTTCTCCGGTCTCCCGTAGAGTTCACAACATCGCGTGAAGTCGTTAGGGAAAGGGGCGGGATGGGTCACGCAAGCAACTAACAACTCGATCAGGCAAACTGGGCTCATATTTGTACTCACCGGAGGGGGCAAGTAGCCGACCGGACAAGCGTCCTAGGACCCGCGACACTACGATACGAAGACCCGTATAACATTAACTTCCTTTATTATTTAATAATAAATACATTTATCAACATTGAACAATATTGTTACACCCGGTTCAGTTTCAACAATATTGTTCAATGCTGTTGACAAGTGTGAAAAATAATGGCAGCACAACATTGAGCACAGTCCAAAGGCAAAGAGCGCACAACCAACATTGCCATTCACTTGATTATATTTTAGAATTCATTTTCCTTTTTGAGGTTTTTTCTTTCGAATTTAAATTCATGCAAATATGATGTATAGTTATCAATAATTAAATTTCATTAACATATAACATATATCTTTTTATACTTTGCATGCAAATGGCCTACACTACAGCGCTTACTCCTTCGACAAGCACAATGCGAACGAACACCGTTTCACATTGTTCATAGACTCACTGATCAGATGATATAAATCACTTGGATTGAAAATACGTAATACCAGTGTCTGCAGTTCTTAAAAGCAGCGCAATACAGCCCGATTTGATAAACGATATGTATATCTCAGTAAAGAGTATTCACTCCTTCGACAAGCACAGCACAAGTGCCACTGATTTATTATCTATATTAAACAAACTTAAAAGGTTCCGTCTGTCCAAATCACAACATGAAAGACGAAAAAAAAATGTGAATTTATAACTTGGTCGACCACAGACAGGTAATAATACATACTAGAAATACATGCATGCAAAATCTCCTCGTCTGGCTGAAGCAATAAACATATATTTCTATCACTGAAATTCTATAATACTTGTTTCTGCTGAATCACGGATCGAAGTCGTATTAGTAAAATCCTATATCTTGGTACAATTATAAAGTTGACTCTCGAGCTATCAAATTCAACTATAATCGTAGTTGTGTTTAGAATAGTTTTTAAACTATAAATACATACATGCAGCGACCCCTTGCCATTTCAATCGAAGCAAATTCCTGAGTAAGCCAGACCTAACCTAGTAACCTTAACAGGGGCGCCGGAACCACGGGGGCAGCGGGGGCAGCTGCCCCCCAGCCCTTTGGTTACGGGGGCGAGCGGGGGCAGCCCCTGTGCCCTTTGCTAGCATATAAAAGTATCATAATTTCAACATTTAATCATGATGCCTACTTTTCACAAAAACTACCCGCTAATATTATTGATAATGGGTTCTCCCGTGGATTTGCAAGTTCGCATGTACTTGTAAATTTAGTTTCCTCTTCGTGTGGTTGCTAAGGTAAAATGAATGTGTTCTTTTCTAAAACTCTGCGCCCGCCGCCCTAAACTAGCTGCTTCCGGCGCCCCTGAACCTTCAATATTTTGAAATGACCTAAATGTAAAGCCGATAGCTGATATTTCAAACTTTTCGGAAACAAACACAGTCGTATTAAAATTAAAGATGAAGTGAAATTACCCGTTTTCCTGCCGCATTACGTTGCATGAAGTTATAGACTTTCACAGTTTAAGTGGGAGTTAATACTTCACTATAACTAAACATTCAAAACATCAAAACAGCCCAAATAATATAGATAACCAAGCAGTGAACGTCGAATGTTGTTTTTGGATTATTGAATTCATGCAGTGATTGCAGTCGACTATATAAAGCTTCAGTTAAGTGATATTTGTTACATCAAAACTCCGAATTACGCTTTTAAGCACTCTTTTAAAGTTAAAACGATGATGTAAACCTTAAATAGTCGGTTATGTCTTCGCAAAACCGAGCAAAACGACATACTGAACCAAGGTCATAAAATGTATTCGTACAGCAAACACGAAATTAACCTCGAAATTAACAAAGACACCTACAATTTCAAGGATTATAAACAACGAGTTGATCCTTTTCACTGCTAACTCTTCCAGTTATGATGATATTTTCAGGGCCGCCGAGAGAAATTGTGGGGCCCGGGACAAAATTTTTTTCTGGTCATGCATGTTTTTAAATATCTGCGAGGCATAAAGTATTTAAAGCCTTGTGCAAAAGTTTTACAAACAAACTTTTTTACAAACAATATCAACATATCTTAGAAATTAAAATAACAATCACTGTCACTCGTACTTTCGACTAGTGTGCGCAGAATACGCCGGAAAATGGCGTATTCGACCATGGTCGAGTCCGGCGGAAAACGGCGTATTCGACCATGGTCGAGTCTACCCGAAAACGGCGTATTCGACCATGGTCGAGTGTACCGGAAAACGGCGTATTCGACAATGGTCGAGTCCGCCGGAAAACGGCGAATTCTCGTACCACTAGGAATGGGAGCTGGTAGCAGAGTGGAATAATCTTTATCCAAATTCACACTTTGGAAGTAATCATTCATTTCCATTGGATCAAAAATAGTACTTAAAGGTACTTCGGAATTTGGACGCCCAGTTATAGTTTTAACTAAAAACCACCATCTTTTTGATCCAGAACTTTGATTCTTATTTTCTTGTTTGACTGCCTTAAGTTGGTTTTCACGAATGAGACTATTTATTCTTCTTCCAGTACGTAATTTCTTTCATTGTCATTGCCGGAAAATGGCGTATTCGACCATGGTCGAGTCTGCCGGAAAATGGCGTTTTCGACCATGGTCGAGTGTACCGGAAAACGGCGTATTCGACCATGGTCGAGTCCGTCGGAAAATGGCGTATCGACCATGGTCGAGTCGGTCGGAAAATGGCGTATTCGACCATGGTCGAGTCTGCCGGAAAATGGCGTATTCGACCATGGTCGAGTGTGCCGGAAAACGGCGTCTTGGACTATGGTCGAGTCCGCCGAAAAATGGTGTATTCGACCATCGTCGAGTCTGCCGGAAAATGGCGTATTCGACCATGGTCGAGTCTGCCGGAAAATCGCGTATTCGACCATGGTCAAGTGTGCCGGAAAATGGCGTCTTCGACCATAGTCTAATCCGCCGGAAAATGTCGTATTCGACCATGGTCGAGTCCGCCGAAGAATGGCGTATTCGATCATGGTCGAGTCCGCCGGAAAATGGCTTTTTGAGGTGCTTTTATAATTTTAGGTTCTTTCTTAGGTCGGGGACCCCTTCATTTTTGGGGCTCAGGGCAAAATGTCCCCCCCCCCCTCTTGGCGGCTCTGGATATTTTAAACTCTTTCATATGGTGTTTTCAAAACATTTTTTTTAAAAAAATGTTAAAATAGTTTGCAAAATGACAGTTAGGTTGCTGACGTTTTTCAGTTTTCACTGAAAACAAATGTTTCGTCTTAGCCAATCAGCAATTTGCTAATTATTAGTCTTCACTCGTTCAAATTTTGCACAAGTACCGTGACCATTGAACGTCCATGGTCCATGACGTAGAATTTGGGCAACTTTGGATTCCGCTATGTTCTGTCACAATACCCGGATGTAATTAATCTCCCAGCGGAATAAGTACCCTTGCAGGGCGCTTCGCGCCCGCTCGGGGAAAATAGTATATATTGTACCATAGGCGGCCCATGTTGTATAATGACTAATTATATTATGACTAATTATAAGACTGCTCCGACAACATGAGCGTCGCGCGAGGTCAGCGAGATCAGTTCTGGGTTCTGGGCCGCCTATGATTGTACTGCAATTTTTAGCAAAATTTCAATATCTTTAAAAGTAAATTCTTTCCCGATCAAAATAATTTTAACGAATTTGACGAATAAATTCAAAGAGGTGTCATACATTTGTTGATAAACTAACATATTAAACTTACAAAATACTTGCATGCTTTAAAATACGAAATCTACCAATTTACCTGCTCAAAAACACTGCTTCAAAATCGTAAATTTTTTGCCATTCATTTGGATGAAAATTTTTCTATCCAAAGGCATCCTTTACATTGTATTTTAATCAATTTTATGGGTATATTTTTCATATATTTTCAAGACCATCCAAATGAAAAATATTTTTAAAAAAATTTTATAATTCAAAATATCAGTTATGCTGACGTGAACCAAAATTTTAATTTAGCCAATCGCACGTTTGCAAGCGTTTGCTAGTTACCAGTTTTAACTCGTCTTATTATTAAATTATTTACCCACGGTACTATTTTACAATGGTTTAAGAAAAAAATATTTACAAGAGTGAAAAGTGATCTTCCAACAGATCAACTTCTTAAGTTATATACAAAGTTGAACATTGATACCGTCAAGACAAAGTCGTGTAAGAGAAATAATTCATAATCTGCAAGCTTATAAATGTTTTAAAAAGCTATAATATACTCGTTCAAATATTATAATATGACTGATTTGAGTTTTGTGTCATGTCATAATATAAGACTTAGTTTAGGTCAGGTTAGCTCAGACAATTGTGTACTTTATTTGAAATAGCAAGGGGTCGCTGCATGCACGTATTTCTAGTAGAGCTTTATTAATATTGCGCATGCTTGGCGGCCATTTATACGAGAGTTAATTCTGCCAGTCAGCATGATGCAAGCTCCTGTGTTTCTTCTCACGCAATAAATTAATCGACTGATTTAGAATTTTATTGTTGAAACCATGCTGAGATAACCCTTTAATCTGCCGTTTGGCGAGTCGGACTTCCTCGACTTCAAAAGACCAGACGGCTTGCTGAAATATTCGGTGGGTGTAGAACTATTGTCTTTACTCAATGGCAAATTATGGGCGTGTGTAAGAGAATCAAAGTTATTAAAATTATTCTAACTATTGAAAATACTTTTTCAAAACGAAGTTAGTAAGAATATGGAATAGAAAATGTTGCAAAAAACTAAAAAAGATTGCCGCATTGAAGAAAGTAGCAATTTATAAAATTGCCTAATTAAGGTGCATTATTTGCCTTTTTTAGGCTCTCCCTTTTCCGGGTAAAACAGTTACATACATACCGCACCAAAATTACCCATATATACGTATATCCACTTAAGAGCGGTACAAACAATAAACGTATTAAAATATTTTTATCTATCCTCCATTTGATCCTTTGAAAAGAGGAAACAATTAAGTGTTTCATATAGAAAGCCAAATGCTGTGCAGAAACATGACTTACATGTATTTGGGTGTTCGAGCACAATTTGTTTTGAATAATAATCTTCTTTGAAACCGCTAAGAAATTAGCATGATGAGTGTTAATAGTTGCATGCATGGTGGCGTATGAATATATCATTATATGAGTTGTTATGCATGAAAGATTGATACTGCGTTCGAAGATTAATATCTTCATCGAATTTCATCTTAGAAATCGTAGTTCACTCCAAATTAATGTAGATATACTAATGTGCTGTAAACCTAGCTCACACATTCCCAAGGTCGTATAGTAAATTTAATTATACAGATATGCGATTGTAAATGTATCACAATTAGCAAATCAGCAGGATACCTTTATCTGGTTGCTTTAGAACTGCTAGCTTTCGTTTTTAGCCATTACTGGCATTAACACTTTGAGTTTCATGAGACAGAACAAAACCGCAGAAACGAAAGTACAGTACTTCCACCTTAATTTTTGTAAAGGTAAGCTCTTTTAAGCATTATTTCATAATCTATTTATCAGAAGATATTACGAGTTTTGTCGTATTCTTGGCAGTGAATAGCTTCCATCGCCGTTGAGTCTTTTAAAAAGATTTGTTATTGGAGTTATCATAAATATTTTTGCTTTCTCATTCAATCTTGCTTCTTTCTGCGGCTATTTTTCGGCTAAAGTAATTCTTTAAAACTCCCTATTTTCGCTAAATTGTTTTAGATAATGACTGTAATGCTAAGTGGACAAAATACAAGTTTCACACCCTAACTTTAGCACTGAGATATGCAGCATTCCGAACACTTCCTCATTCCTGCAAAGTTCTAAATCATTTACTTTTAATTGGAACATTACAGATATCGTAATCATATTGTAATCATAAATTAAGATTGGAAATGTTTCGAAAGTGCTAGCAATGAAATAGTCATAATCTCAGGAGCCCACAACGTGTTTAAATGTTCCAAGATAAACAATTGGTCTTATCTATGACGTCTTCATTCTTTGAACATGACTAGTGTGTTCAATCTTTCGTTACATTTTTAAAACCGTCAGCCGGAATTTAGTACGTAGGGCCTAGGAGAGCAATCAGAGCATATATTTTAAAATAAAAATCTGCTTTATGATTCAATAGACGCCAAGGTAATTAAGCTCCTGTTTTATCTGATGTTAAAAGGTTAAAAACACTAGAGTTTATATACCATGTGTCTAGCTTTCGTCGATAGACATCATCAGAGACGATTAAATAATTATGAACTATATGAACCCTATTATATTACCGTTAGATGTAGGTATATAATAGTATTCATAGTTCATACTTAATCGTGTTTGATGATGTCGGTGATCGACGAAAGCTAAGACACATGTATATAAATTCTTATGTTTCTAACCTTTTAACATCAAAGAAAACAGAAGCTTACCTTGGCCTCATTTGAATAATTAAACGGATTTTTACGATACGAAATGCTGCTGAAGGACACCATAAATTCCATGTATCTTGAAAGTGTTGTGAGTTGATGTTGGGAGGGAGGACGGAGGGAATGGTCGGGTTTCGCTGGTTCCAGCAAAAAGTTCCCCAAAATATTGGTATAAACTTTCCAGATTAATTCAAATGTTTCTAAACGGGAAACTGCTCTTTGTCACCCCCTGTCGACCACCGCACCAACGCCATATCATTATTAAGAATTTGAAATAAACAACGAAATTTCGTATGGCAAACATATTTCGATTTTAACTATAAGTCTTTAGTGCGAATGAAAGTAATTGCTATTTATTCATTTTCACATGTATAAAATTATTTCTTTCGCACCACAGTAGGTTTATAATTGATATAGCTTTTCGCTAATTTGCATTTTGTATCGTTTTAAATTATTAACGTATCGCGATGCGTATCGGAAATTTCTTGGTAATTCCGATTCCTGGTAACTTTTTACCAGGAATCGGATTACCAAGAAATTGCCGATACGCATCGCGATACTATTAATATGCAAAGTATAATGCATAATGATAATTATCATGACAAACATGTAAAACGTGGCATACAGCACGGAATCGCGATGTCGCAATACTCAAATTCTGGTAGACAATACTGTTTATTGGCTTATATTTTTACGAAATTTGGCTATTTGCGAATCTCTAAGCTTTTGCTTTAACATGCACTTTACATAAGCTGGGTAAAGTCTTTACGATATCAGTTGTTTCTTTGCTTCAAATTTTTTGGAATCCAACTCTGCTGTTTGTTCAGTCCTTAAGATTATAATGAATAAATGAATGGTCTTATTTGTGAATCTCCAATTTATTAGAGGCCAAACTAATTTGACTTTTGCAATATCGTTAGTGAATAAAGCCCTAACTATCTCCCCAACTGCACGGTTCAGGCTGGTAATTTTTGCCATGCACAAACGTCGAACTCTTCATGTGCCGAATTGAATGCAAAATTAATGATCATGAACTTAAGGTCTGTTCACACGATTTAATTTTGTTGGACTCAATTTACCTGTGACGTATGAAATATTGTTGGTTATTGATAAAACAGTGGATTTGCTGCTCGTATACATTACCAGACACAGGCCATAAAACATCCTTCAGAAGTGAATTGGTTCCAAAAAAAAATTGGACAAAAAAAAATTGGATCGTGTGAACAGACCTTTAAACAAATACTTTATGCATTAACAAAAATTAGTCAGATTTATGATTCATCGGATTAGTCAGATTTATGATTCCAAAATGATTTATCGTTCGAGCATAAGACGAATAATTTTATATGAATATACACCCCCCAATTAAGCGACGGTCCTGTATAAGGTGGATTTCCACTTTCAGAGAAATACTGTAGTTCGCTAGCGAAATATTTGCATATTTTCTTTTGCATTGAGAACAGTCATTTTGAACTAATTTATTTATGCTGTTAAAATTCTAAAGAAAATATGCAAATATTTCAGGGCGAACTATTTCTCTTTAAGGTCCTGTTTACATGGAGCGAGTTATCCCGGCTGCACGAAGTAAAAAGCGCATTACATCATAGTCTTAACCTGATTAGTCTTCATCAGTATAATTATGCAGTTTTCACCTCGCCTAACCGGGATAACTCGCTCCATGTAAGCAGGCTTTACGTAGAAATCCCGCCTAAATGACAAAACTAATTAATCAGTAAAATAAATTATCAATTTATTGTAACACATGTCCGAACCAATGACATATACTAGATGGGCTGAGGCTACGACCTATTTAATCAAGAACGAAATGGGGCCATCGTTGCTCACGTCATATAGGTCTTGCTCTCATGCGTAAACTTGCTCACCGACTCGTAATTCAGATTTCGAAGTGAGTAACATTAAAAGTTGAAACATGAGTTCAATTTTCAAAAATTACAACAAAGTTCAATTCTCGGAAATTCATGTTATATTCCACTTAGGGCATTTTCACGCGAAAAACACCACAAATTTGCACAAGATACTCAATAAAAACTTTTTTTAAATGTTAACCCGCCTACAAACCAAAACAAACATCAGTCTGCTGTAAATTTCATCTACGCAAGCAGATAGCTTTCAGTTTGCCGCACACGGAAAGATTTCGGCACGCGAGGCAGAAATTATCACACATGCTAAATATTTGTCGTAAGTGGCACGAATGACCAAAGTCGCACACGAGAGCAACCCCCTTACGCCAATGGCCACGAATGACTTTTTGCTAAGCACATAGCTCTAGTGTGCGCCGGCCATTAGCTTGACAATTTGTCCCGCTATATGCTAATATTTTGTCGATCATTGACGGCGAAAACAATAAATTTTTAAGGATATGAATAATTATTATCACTCGAAATTTACATAGTGGGACAGAATTATCAGGCTGGCTGCGCCACTGGTAGCAAATACCAACAACAATGTACTTGATCAAGCAGCCTTGATTTGACGAAGGGCGGCATCGGTAGGGGATGGGATATCAACTTTCCATAATAATTATACTTCTGTCTCACTGATACTTTCACTCGCTTACTTAAAGCTTGTTTATACTTGCGATTTTTGGTGCTATTTTATGTGCGATTTTCATCTTTTTTGGTGGATGTGAAGGAGTAACTCACGAATGCTCTGATACATTGTTTGAGCGTGAGTAATCAATTCGCTCGTTCACATCTATCAAAGAAGAAAATCGCAAAAAAAATCGCAGCAAAACTCGCAAGTGTAAACGAGCCTTAAGAAATTCTGTTGTTTATAATTATTTCTAATCACCTAGTCCGTTGTTTTTAGAAGTAACTTTGATCCTTGCTCCAATGGCGACTCACTTTCTTCTCTGCCTCCTCTTCTCTTCTGGTAAGTCAGACTGAAATCCTGTGCGTTTGTTTCTTTAATGATAACTCATGTTGCTAAAGCGTACGAATCAGGTTTCTGTGCATCTTGCCCATGGGCGTCAATCGAACGTTAAGTGAGGGAGGTCATATTCATATATTCTGCTTTCCAGGCTGAATTAATATTGAACCGTGTTCATGTCATCATCGCTCAAAATATTTTTTACAGGAATGCTTGCTAATATTAAAGCAACAATTCAGAAGGATTGGGAAAACAAATATGAAGTAGAACAATCTTGGGAGGGTCAGAATTTTCGAGGTAAGACTATTGAATAAATGTCTATTGAATAAATTATCTTACTATACATTATTTTCATGAGACGAAAGCGCGACGAAAGGTTGGATGATTTTGCTATGCCGTGGCAGAACGCACAAAGCGACGCTATCCCAGCACGCACCGAGAGCACGATACTATCCGAATTTGAATTCATTGCTAAAGATTAACTGTGCATGCACTTTATATTATGTGAAAGAGCATGTCTTTACTAAGTATCAACGTTTTGCGGCGTGATATTGGCATTATTTCCTATGTACTGGTTTGGATATCTTTTACATGTTTTTGCAACATATATACTAATTTGCTATCACTAAATATATTCACTTTCAAATACCCTTTTTTGATGAGTTATTATTGATCACCCCATTTTTCTACTTATTAAAAATAGAGCATATTGAAGTAAATTAAACCACCATTGGTTCTCCAACCGAAACGTTTGGTTTAAATATATATCGTTTATTTGCAACTTCGCGCAATCAACTCAAAATAATAGGTCATTTTAACCTATATATTTGAGTTGTAACCTATTCAATTGGTTAAAATGACATATTGATAATAGTTGTAACTTTTTGAAATAGGTTATTTTAACCTACCAGTTTTTAAAGTGCGCGAATTTGCATTTTTCCTATTTTTAGGAGACGCAAATAAACCTTTCCCTGACCACGAAGACGATGTAAGCGATCAGCTTTTTGCACTTCGTGAGCAACCAGTGAAAAATATCCGCGTGAAAAGAGACACGGTAGACTATTTTGCCAGCGGAAGTGCCCCAGGTAAATAGTGGACCAAAATTTTTACGGTTCAATGCTACGATCATCCCGCGGCTATACAAGAGGCCCTTTTTAACATTTTGGACAATTGTACCAATATTGCATGCGGTCATTCGATGCAGTCCAAAACGTTTTGAAAAATCTAACGTGCAATTTCAAGATATTCCTGCAAGAGTTCCTGTTGTGTCATATGCGGCATCGGCAACACTGCATGCATTAAAGCTCTTTATACAACCATATAATATTACAGTGCTTTGTAGTCAAGGGCGTTAGTCGTGTGGGCATTGGGCTGACGTGCCCCACCTTTTTTTTGGGTAGAGGGGACGAATATCTAATTATATGCTAATATTTACATGTTTAATGAAAGTTTCTTGTTGATTTAAATAGCAAAAAAGACTAATCGAAGACTTTGCTTCTCTATAAAGCGTAATTTACGAACTTTACGGCATTAACGTCTTCATGCAGAACTCGGAGTCATTTTTTAGTTGGAATAAATTTCGTAGTAGAAATCACATCCACCACAACTTTATTGTTAATGACGTAAAAAAAACAACGAATTTTCCAGGGCTATGGTCCTGGGATATACTATATGTATTTTGTGTTAAACGTTGAGAAATCTACATTGGGAAACTTATACACGAAACATTTGTGTTTGTAACACTCCATGGACATGTCTTTTGTCATTTGGGCGGCATTTCGCCACTTTGTGGAATTGCATAACAACAATTGCATAATCGTGTAAAATTGCCGTTTTCAGTTCGGACGTAACTGAATTCTCGACATAGTACAAGCATATCTAGTGATCTTATTCCTGTTTGGAAAATTCCCTTGTTTTATATCTTTTATCTTTCAGTTTATCTGAGTTATCTAGACTATTCCTGTCAACTTGGACCTATTGAGTGAATTTTTGTTCTTTAAGGATTTTCGCCTCTGGTGATATGCAGGAGGGATAACTTTACAGTAGTCCTAAGAAGGAAAGAACTATCATCGAGAGGGTTTGATAATGCTACCTTGCATCTTGCTGACAGTTCGTGCAAGACAAGCCACAACGAAACCCACGTGTACATAACTTCAGCGTTACATGAATGTGGAACGACATATTCTGAGACAGATAAAGAAATGTTCTACAACAATACCTTGACTGGCAAAATTTTAACCTCACCCGATTCGATTATAACAAGAGGAAAATCATTCGCTTACAGTTTTAAATGTGCCTATGATCGTGTGTTTAGTCTCACTGGCTTGAAATTTGAACCACCCAAGCAAGAATTAGTAATTGAAAAAAGTAAGTAATTCTTGAAAAGAGGAGAAAATATTTTGCTAGCATTTTTCACGGTGACTGATATCCGCAATTTCTGGGGTATTTTCAATTCTTTTGAACGGGCAAGGACTATCGATTTTAACCGGGATGAAATGCAATTTCTAAAAATCATCACACCACTTAAATGCAGAGAAAATGTAGGCTAAAATAAAACACAGTCGCTGGAACTAGGCCTTATACTCACAATGATATCCATCATCATAAAAAAGCCTACTTAACTAGTTTTCCCCTTAATTTATTAGCTAGCAATAAAACCTGTCTAGAATTTATAAGAAATTTAAATTTATTTCAGATTATAGGGGATATTAATGCTACAATCTTGAACAAAATTGTTGCAACACTCCGCCCCTTAAATCAATGTCGTGATTTTACGCATCAACATTGAAATGGGGGAGGAAAGAGTGTAGTGTTACAGCAATTTCTTCTCAAGATTGTAGGTTGTTTATTTACTGTTGCAAAGCCTTTAAAAGTACAACCATTTTCCTAAGTATAGGTTTTACCATATTTTTTTTCAGGCGATATTGGAAACTTTACTGTGAATATGGGTTCCTACAGCGATAGTGGTTTCCTTTCCCCTTCTTCTGAGCAATATCCTGCATTCAAAAGTTTTTCTGAGCGTATTAACATCGAGTATGGCGTAGATACCCAAAATCCTGATATTGTTGTACGTGCAGAGTCATGCCGCGCAACACCAAGTATCCAGCCTTACGACACGCCACAATATGAATTCATATCCGAAGGGTAAGAATTTTAGAGCTTTAGATGAACTTCCCCGAAACAATTCATTTAATTTCTAAAGTCTTTTTTTCCCAAATCAATTTTAATCTGTTATTATAATCTATTTAAATCAAGTGGGAATTAAACTTTTAAAGAAATGACTTTATTATTTATGATAGACATGTTGAATCTTTTTTAATAATATTGCTTTTAGTTGTGACAAGGATGAAACAATTATCCACGTTACAAGTGGCTTGCAAAACCGTCATAGGTTCAGTATCCAAGTTTTTAGATTTATTGCTAACCATACCTTCGTATACATTCATTGCGACATTCGAATATGTAACAGAAACTCCCCAGATTCCATTTGTGCTAAAAGTACGAGTTGTTCAAACAGACGAAAACGTCGTGATGTACCTGCTACTGATCGTACCTACCAACTTGCAATTGGTCCTATTGTCTACCGCGAGAAGCAACCTGAAAAAGAAACAGAAAAAGTACAAGGTTTGTTCATTTCAATTTATTTTTATCTCGTGCAACAAAACAGCAGCGTGCAACAACAGCGTTTAGCTTAAAAAGGTGGAATGAGAGTGAAAAATTTTGATGAAAATGATCCAGGTGTGACAGAATATTTATATCCGGTTTTCTTACACGTGCCTTAATATTATTAGGGCGCTGCATATTATTAGGACTGGTCATATTTTGAATTGAAAGAGAGTATTTCGTTTAAAATACAGTGGTGTATGAAAAGGCATAAATATCGATAAACTTGAATGCATATTTCTTGAAACACTTTAAAATACCAGTAATCGGTCTATACTGAAATACATCAGGACCGGTCTGGCTATTTTCTCGAGCTCGAGCTTCATTTTGCAAGATGTAATCCCCCTCAGTCATTGCCGGAAACGCGTTTTCATTCTAATGGTGGCGTTTTTTACTCGTTTTTTATACTTTTCAGTTTCTTTTATACCACTGCTAATTCTATTTCTGGTTTCCAGAATCCGGTTTAAATACAACAATGATAGCAATACTTGCTGTCGCTGCAGTTATTGTTATTTTGTTGTCCTTGACTGTGGTCATTTTGGTCAGAAGACGTCGTGGAGGAAATCACAGAACATCCCTGGAGAAAATTCCCATGAAATGCCCAGCTGGCAAAGTGGAGGACTTTACCTTCAGTAATCTGGAAATGAAATAGAAATTATTCATTTCACAGATGTTGAATAATAATTATCGTATAATAGTTCACAACCTTCAATTTAAAATCTTAATTATTTAGAAACAGCTTTTTCATAGCGTATATTTGTCAACTTTATAGGTGTGCTTATATAAGGCAACATAATCAATATAAAAGCAGTGCATGTAATAATATTGGAATATATATTTTTTTCTTTGGGGTAATAAAAACCCGGGCCAGTTTTTTGCATTTCTCGGCAAAATCCTAAGCAACTAGATGGACAAATAATTATGTTAATATAATCACTTATTCATTTGTATTCAAAAAAATTACTATAACCACAATGAAACACGCAATTTATATTATAATACAACGGAACACGTAATTTATGTTATACGTATACTTTATATTATAACTGCAATGGAACACGAATTTGATTGGTTATAGCCAGCCTCCACTTGCACATGCGTACGTGCCGAAATGGCACAGATTGCTTGCGTGTTGACGGCTGCCTTGAAAGTAACATGCAGTTCTACTGTCATATGTACAAAAAATTGGCCGGGACGGCCGGCTTAGCGACCAGTTTCGAGTCACGGAGCATGCGCCAAATCACCTCCTCCACTAAGGCATGATGTGCAACGTACGGTAAATGTTAAATTGGTTTGATAGTTTCTGCATCGGATGCCAAAATTATTCCGTGCGCAGCTGCGGCGTAGTTTTGACTGTGCGCTGATAGAAAAATGCGCAACGTGAAGGGCATGCATGTATGCATATTTGCGGTAAGATTATACATGTCTATGTTAAAAATAAGTAATTTCTTACTCTCGCTTAGACCGCCATTTACCGAGGAATTTCATACAAACCTGGCCCTTCGGATTCGGTCTGTAAAAAAATTGATTACCGATATTACACGGTAAAGCACTCGCTTGGTAGATTATAATTTCATAGATGCTATCTTGTTCTAGCAAGTTGCCAGCTAAAATGATTTCATATTTAGGCTTATCTTTCATTTGGTCTTAACTATATAGATACAACCGCGATATTCCTAACATATGATATTATATCGTCTCTTCGTATCACGTTTGATGATTTTCTATTTTAGCATTTAAATCGGCCTTGGTTGAGTGCCTACATAGACGTAGAGACATTCGTTGTATTACTGGGTAACCTTGGCATAGGAATGGATGAAAACAACACTGCACTGCTTAGAGGCTGTTTACATGAGCCCGGTTACCCGAGATTCAACGAAGCGTGAGAGGACTTTGAGGTATTGAAAAAAGTCTTTATGACACCTAACAAGCACATGCTATTGTTGTGGTGATTATATATACGACTGCCAGGATCATGTTATCTGCTCAGTTCAATACCTCAAAGTCCTCTCACGCTTCGTTGAATCTCGGGTAACCGGGCTCATGTAAACAGCCACTTACATTAATGGCTAAAAATTAAATAATAAAACAAAGAGTACAATTGCTCTTACAATTAACAAATAGAATGAAAAAATTATACAGGGTGTCTCAAAAAAAACGAAAACTATTGAAATCACTCATTGTTAAAATTTGAATGCCGTGTTCACGAATTTCAGCCCGTGGGGATTTAATGCAACTTATAAAATGCTAAATGCTTTGTATTGCTAGAGAAAGAGGACATGTCGAAGGTCATGGTCCTTAAGATGCACATTTAAATATTGTTATCCAAATTTGTAAATTGTAAATATTGTTAATAAATATCATTTTTGCCTACAGGCAAATTTTACTGCATCATATGCATGCATAAAAAATGATTATGGCAAACATTTATACACCTGTGGGTCCCAACAGAGTGCTTACCCAGTGAGCACAACGACGTCGATTCAACGTTGAATCGACGTCACCCAGCGACGTCGAAACGACGTCGAAAAAGGTTCGAAAACGCAAATCGAATCGACGTCGATTATTCGACGTCGAAACGACGTCGGGTAATTGACGTCGAATCGACGTCTGCAATTAATGAAATTTCAACGTCGAAACGACATCGAAAATGATTTGAAAACACAAATCGAATCGACGTTAGATTATTGCCTTTAAAACAACGTCCGTGCATAGGATTTTAGCTAGATTTTGAAATGCATATAAAAAACATAGACATACTTGCACTGACTCTATAGTTTAAACAAATTTATTCAATTTACATCATCTTGTTTAAATCTACAATATACTTGATTTGAAATTAAGAAATCAGATTCGAAAAATTGTCTGGCATTCCTTCATCTCAGATTATGTTTTCTTAAAATCTCGTCTCAAAATAGTGCGAGAAGAGTCTCGATCAGTATTGTAAAATAAAAAGTAAGTTTTTGGACACTATTGACCACTATGGAATTGGATATTATGTTCGAGTATGTTATCTTTCCCTTCATTCTGAACAATCTTTTCATCATCTTTATACACGCAGCAACAGGAGGGGCATTTACTTGTGATGACAATTTGCGATTTGCGATTTGGCCAACCTTAAAAGTTGAGATGATATTGTTTACTACATATGTGGTCCCTATGTGTGCGCTTACCCCATATATTTGTTATAGGTCTGTGCTAGGCCATTTGCTAGTTATTTACTAAGTTTAATGATGTAGCACGTTGACACTTCAGTTGAGAAAGGCAACCGGCAAAGGGAGCAGCATAATAAAAATCAGTTTATTCATCTAGCAAAGGGCTTATAATAGTACGCAATTTTCAAAAAATCAAAGCAAATAGCTAAATCGAATTGCGTTCAACACATAAAGAACACACGACTAACATACGGAACCATAAATTGGGTCTAAATTATCGAAACTAAGTAGCGGATTGAATTGGATTATAAATGCAATTAGTTCTGGCGTCAAATATGGCGATCTTATACTGTATATACAAAGTCATATTAGAATGAATAACCCGCGATCACACAACGTTGAAACATAAGTTAACAAAATCTAATGAGCAAGTATCGTTATTCGTTTAGCTGAACCATTTTTAAAAGAGAATCAAAGAGTTTGGGCAATGTTTTAAGCGTTTAAATTTCAAAATATAATCACGATGTCACGATCGCGTATTCATATCTCGCGATTCATAGCCTTTGTCATGGCAATACACACTGTAAAACTGACTCTCACTAACCTTTACTGCTTTCTTGGATTTATGCTGAAGATATCCAACGATTAAACTGAGAAAATCCTGTGAAAATATCCCGAAATATACAGCTACAATGTTTCATATTCCGTTCGCGACAACATGTTTCAATTTTCAAATGGACGCGCTTAATTCGACCTTCCCGAAATGCACTGCGCGCACTCTACCAACGATGCATGACCGATGTTGCTCCGGGGAGGCCCGAGGTATTCAATAATGGTTTTAATAGTCTGTTACGTAGAAATTAATTTTCAACACTTCCTAAAATCGCAACATTCGTCCTAACTATCTATCAGGAATGATATTATTACCATTGCGAGTCTTTGCAAGCTGGTCCTGTAAAGTTTTTATATAACGTCGAAACAACGTTGAATAAACGTCGCAAAAACGACGTCGAGAATACGTTGATATATCGACGCTTTAACGACCTGACAAAAACACATCATTACACTGCATATATGATGTTCACAACACTTTCCCAATATTGTTGTGAATTCATATACAAATTAAATGCGGCAAACGCAGCAAACTCTAGTTTTACCTGACGTCGAAACAACGTTGAAACAACGTCAGTTTGCGACGTCGATATGACGTTGTGAAATCGACGTCGAAACGAAGTCGATATTGGGTTGATCGACGTCGCGACCAAAATTCAACCATAAATCAACGTCGAAACGACGTCGTGTGCTCACTGGGTATAGGCATTCAAACTCCAACAATGCATTGATTTCAATAGTTTTCGGGTTTTTTGAGACACCCTGTGTAAACCCAAAATTAACACTTCTTATAGAATGGAGTCGCTATGAACACTTGACTATATAAAGATTTGTTTACACTTGCAAGTGTTGCTTGGATTTCTCCGTAGATCGCTCAAGGATAATCACAGGAATTTGCCGGCAAGTTCTGAAATGCTTTGAAACCATGCCGGCCAGGAACTGAAGCTTGGTTGCTTAGCGAAGTTGCTTAGCATTTCGCTTAGAAACGGGAAAAGGCGTGATTGGATAGAATACACATAAGCAGAAAGCATGGGGGGAAACCGCAAAACATATAATTACATTTTGGCTGTTTTGGTGCCAAATGTGTTTCAAATCATCGCTTAATTTTGTTTAACAATATACACGTATATCGTCGTCTTTTCTGCAGGCTATATCTAAGATGAGGCATAGCCAAAACCGAGCTTTGAACAGCGATGATTACATTTTTTTATTTTATGTGCTGTTGGCTATTTTCGTAAAAAAACCGCAGCAGATATTAGCATTAAAAACATTGCATGGTTATATCAAAATATCGGCTTTTATGCAGGGCCGTAACTAGAACGATAATTGGGGGGGTGTTTATTGATATATTCAGTTTTGCCCGACGGATTTCTATTGTAAGCTATTGCACTTACAAAAGAAACACGTCGGGCAGAACTGAATATATGAATAAACACCCCCCCCAATTATCGTTCTAGTTACGGCCCTGCTTTTATGTTACGAAGTGAAATCAGTTGGAAGCAAGATTCATTTTTAAAGAAATTTTGAAGGTAAAGCTATAATTACCATTTTTTTAATCCTATTATGAAGTCCTAAAATTTCACGTTGCTAATTTTAATATGTTTCTGATACCAGCTCTGCGCGTGCGTGTGTCTCATAGCTCAGTATAACTCTGTATATTGACGACTACGATGATAGTGTACATGATATTTAATAGATCTAGATTAGATGTTATCTGGTAAGAAAGAAATTGTGATTTCGAGATATATTTCGTTATCATTATTAATTTTACAGTTCAGTGTATCCAACACTAAATTTAACCCTCTAGTGGCCATTGTGACACTTTAGTATTTTACTCTGTCTAACGCCAGACGATATTACTCGTCACAGAGAAACTTTTGGGCACCTGAGGGTTAAGTGGAAATATGAAATTCTGTTCATCGGGACGGTTTATATGAGTTGGTCTAGCCTTGTTAAACACACCACAACTGAACGTCAAACGTTTTGCGGCAGGTTGGTATCTATAGCCTTGGTGAATGACAACTTCTTTATAACAAAATTTAATCAAAAATTTTAAAATATAAAATGTGTTAAAAAAACCAGTCGGGTCAACCGGGCTAACCCATGAACTGATATAGCCAATGAACTCCTATATAATAACTTACTGTTAACGATTTATGAGACCAGAATAGTGCATGCTTAACGAGATTTGATAATTGGTAGCTCAGTTTGCATTTCGTTGTTTTCAGATACTGTATAACACTGATCGACGCTCCTTATGGCAAGTCGTTTGTCTTTCGGTTTCCTCCTCTGCACTTTAGGTAAGTCAGATTATAATTAAGCTTGACTAAATTCATAGTTCTTTAATTTTTTTTAGAATTTTAGTCATCAATATAATCATATACTAACTAGTTCGATAATTTTAAAAAGAGACGACAGTTTATATTCACGGGTTTCAAAAAGGCCTTTGCAATTACTGTAAATATGAAATGTTTCGTATAATATACGACCGTTCTTGGAAGTTTTTTAAGGGGGAAGTGTAAAGAGGAATATGTACCGTCTACATTATATGAAAAACCCTAGTAATTAAGTTAAGGTAGTACACCACAAAAAGATCATTTGCATATTTATAAAAAATAATTAAAAATATTGAAATATGTTGAAGAAGAAAGATATGATTGTTCTAATTCTAGTTCACAGCACAGACATTCACGTGCTAAGTTGGCTTGAGCAATCGTTTCGGAGATTAGATACACACAATTTTCTGCGCAATATCGTTCCTTATTTTGAGTATATTGCGGCAAAATCTCTTCCTCTGTTCTACCATAGAACTAAGCTCTAAAACGACCAAAGCATACTTGGAACACTGATTTCTGTGCTGTGAACTAGACTCTAAACTAGACTCTAAACTAGGGATCCAAGGATGATGCAAAGTTTCCATGCCCAGTAATACCTATTACCTAAGCAATCGGACGTTTGTCCCAATCAGACGATGACTTAATCAACAGGAAATTACTCAAAGTACTCAAGTTAGGTTAATCGCGGATATTGTCACTATTAATTTATTATAATTTTAGTTGCTCATGTACACCGGGCGCGATTTTCATAGTTTAGTCTCTTTTTTCGTCAAACAACTGTGACTACATTTACTACATTTATATGATCGCAACAATTTATCCGTCATTTGATAAGAATAGCCAAAATAGTTGCGTTGTAAATAATGTAAATAAACCGCGGTGCATATTGTGTCTATGATGCGGATGCTTCGCCGGACGCGTAAATCGATACAAAACAATATACTTATAATCAATACTGTATACCGCAAAAATGATTTGATTACTGCACAAAATGTCCGTTTTGTAGGGTATCAATTATGTACTGTATGCAGAATATCAGGTATCGACTTGCTATCGACATAATATATACATATATTCGTGTAAGAGATCTATCAATACATAAACAACACAGCGTCGTTTCTCACCTCTTAACTTTATTTATGAGATAAACCTTTCAAATTATATTTGTGTTGAGCTGAATGCTCGTAATTCATAACATAAGTTGATAAATTGCGTAGATTCTCAAAGAATTGCTTGATTTTTACGTCCGGAATGTTTCAAGCAACAGTCGTCGCTCTTCGTTTCTTAAATCGTGAATATTTATCAGGCCCAGCAGCGCATGCGCAGTTGTGACGTATAGGAGAAAATCGGTGTTAGGGGGGCAGACCCCTTTAAAACAAAACCCAAACCACGGGAAAGTAATGCTTCAAAATTTACAGCAACGGCTAAAATTCCTCAATATTTTGGTTAGCAAAAGGGATAGTGCATTAATAAATAAAGCAAGTTAAACTGATTTAAAAATCTTTAAATTTCAGGCCGGTTGTATCAAGCCCGTTTAGCTTAAACGGTGGTTAAGTTCAAAATAGAAAGCAAGTCTATCGTTTTACTCAACAAGCAAACTAAATGTTTTTAAACTTAATACAAAGATACTGTTTACAACTACATACTTAGTGCTTAATATTCAGGTTCACTCATTCAAGAGAGATGTAAGAGCGTTATTTAATTTTGATTTAACTCCCGTTTCAGCTAAACGGGCTTGATACAACCGGTCCCTGATCATGTATAAAAAGTTACAATGAGCATAAATCCCGCGAGTCCTTTTGAATTCCTCGTGCATGATTTCCTGACCCTAAACGGCTATTGACCTACACGGCTATCGACCTACACGGCTATTCACCTACACGGCTATTCACCTACACGGCTATTCACCTACACGGCTATTCACCTACACGGCTATTCACCTACACGGCTATTCACCTACACGGCTATTCACCTACACGGCTATTCACCTACACGGCTATTCACCTACACGGCTATTCACCTACACGGCTATTCACCTACACGGCTATTCACCTACACGGCTATTCACCTACACGGCTATCGAATCACATTGCGTGTTTCACTGTAGTTATTATATCATAATACGCGGTGCTACTTCACTGTAATTATTTTTAATATGTTTGTAACGATTTATTTCCTAATTGATATTTGCTCGTCCTGCAAATTATCCGTAAAATTGCTGTTTAGCCTTCCAGGAGCCGGTTGTTCGAAAGGCGTTTAACTTAAACGGTGGATAAGTTCAAAATGGAAAACAATATCATCTATTTATTAAACAACTGAGCTAAAGTATTTCAATGTAAATAGTTTAATTGTCAAAGGTTCAGCCATTCACAGGATGTATGAGAGTATTTTAAACGTCGGCTTATCCACCGTTTAACCTAAACGTCTTTTGAACAAACGGCCGCAGAATTTCTCCCTGCTGTGTTGTGTTAATTTTGGGATTATGTGTTCTCTATTTTCTGGTATTTTAATATTTCTGCCATCCTTTGAAGGTTTTAATTAATGAACTCCTTTATAGGAATGCTAGTTAACCACGTAAATGCACACGAACAGGAGAATTGGAAAAGGAAATTCGTGGTGGAACAATCATGGACGAAATTTGAACGTAAGATTTATAAACCCGTTGAGTTCAATTAAACTGTTGTCAGAATTGTTTCAATTAACATATAAAAATCAGCGGTGTAATATTTCACAATCATCCTTATCGTGTGCTCTAGAAGGTAAAAACAAAGCGCTATATCAGCGCTCAATCAGCGCTATATCAGCTATATAAAGCGGTATAAAAAATATCTATAGAAAACTACCTTGAATTAAACTACCTTTCGACCGATAGTTATTGCCAACAGCCTGGAATATGTTTGGGCAAAACGAGCCCGGCAACCATGCAGGCATATTTCTTTGCCGACTGTTACAAATAGATTAATTCGTTATTATTCGTTGTCGAAGACTTAATTTACTCCATTCTTCAGCCGTTCTAAATTTGTCAAAACTATGCGTATACAATTCTATATTCTTCATTAAATTATAGGTTTATTGCGTTTACAACCACAGCGGCAAAGATAATTCCATGTTGTCGTGGACACATATTGAATTAAGATGCACTGGGTTTATTTTAAACACAAAAATTAGTTCTGCTATGAAATGTTTACACATACACCCACACCTACAACATCAAACAAGTTAACGCTTGAGCGTGCAACGAACAGAGGACATTATTTTAGGCTCAAAACTCATACGTTTAATAAAGCCTGGCAACCACTTGCACGTACTGTCAGTGCGGCTGATTTGGCGCATGCTCGGTGACTCGAAACTCTCACTAAGCCGGCTGTCACGGTTAATTTTTCGTACGAGAGTAGACTGTGTTCCACATTCAAGGCGGCCGTCAACGAGCAATCCTTACGTGCGATTTCAGCGCCTACGTTCGTGCTAGTGGAGGCCGGCCTTAACATCTGCAAGATTACTATAGCTATATTATACGTAACAGCTATATGCGCTAACACAAACAAAATATTTTCCTGTTTGCTACACATATTAAAATTACTATTAATTTACCCATCGATTTATTGTCAGTAACGTAGCTATTTCAAAAAGATCAATTTTTATTTACTACCCTACATATTGCTCAGTCTGCATTGAATTGACCTAAGACAGGTAGGCAGTGTCGGAAAAAGATAAAATCTGGAAACCTATTCATTTAATGATCTTTAGCTATTTTGCAAACGTACGTGCAGCCGTTAACTTTTCGAAATTTCAAAAGAAAAATGAGAAAGTAATTATCTGTTTTTTTTGTTATAAAGATGCAGATGGTCTGGAAGAAGTGGAACACGATTCAAAAAACGAGTTTTTTGCGTTTCTCGAAAAACCGGTGAAGGAAAGTCGCGTAAAAAGACAAACACTAGACGATTCTGGAAGTGGAAGTACGTCAGGTAAAAGCTTTTTAACTTTTGGAATGGCTAAAAAATATTTGATTGTGTGTTTCAATCAATTGGATTGAGTAAACAGTTGAAAACTACTCTCTACAAAATAGAGAGCGGAATATATAAATTTTGATAAGATTTCTGAGATTCATAGATTAGATTATTCTGAGATATTCTGTGAAATTTAATTATATATTGACATAGGCTTACGGGCGTAACTTCTCTTGAGAGGGGGGAGGCGAGGGGAGTTGTGGCAAAAAAAAATCGCCCAAATTTTTGAATTATTCAATGTGCCTGAATTTTAATTTTTACTAGTTTGTAACAATAAACTTGGCAAAGCAGCGGATGTGCTTTCAAGAAAGTGTAAAAAAATGGCGAAATAGAATACACATATGTGATAAATTATATATTATAAAATTTGGTTTTAAAAATTTTAGCTATGTTACTCTTTCTCAGTTTGCTCGAATTTTTGTCTGAACTTTTTGGGCCCCTATGTATATTGAGTAACTTTTAAATGTTTAAAAAGTTAAAGTTTGAAAACTGATTGAAATTCATACTAACAGCTTAATATACTATAATTATCCCCGAGCCGGCGCGGAGCACCGTGCGAGGATACTAATTCCGCCCGGAGATTAGGAATTACACCCGGGACCCGGGAGAACATAGCGGAATCCAAAGTTGCCAAAATGTCATGGACGTTCAATGGACATGGTAGTTGTGCGCATGTGCGAAATTTGAACGAAGAAAGAACGGTCGTCTACGACTTGCTGATTGGCTAAGACAAAAAGAGAGCATGCATGATAGCGTCAGCATTTTACCGTCATTTTTCAAACTATTTTTTAAAAATATGAAATGAAATCATGGAGTCAAATATTAAAACAATAATAAAAGATTTAAAGATCATCACAGCACAGAAACAGTTGGTGAAATAGAACGACTCGTAGTTTATAATCTTTGAAGTGGTAGGTGTCTATATTTTGCTTATTCAGTGTTTGCTGTAAGAATGCATTGTTATTTTGACAAGTACGAGCTTGGTATGTCGTTTTACAAGGAGCTAACCGACCGTTTAAGGCTTTACATTATCGCTTAAACTTTAAAGAGTGTTCTCAAAAGTGTAGTTCAGAGTTTTGATAAAACAAATATCACTTTGCAGCTTATATAGTCGCTAAAATAAATCAATCGAAAAACAACATTCGACGTTTAGTGCTTGTATGGTTATTATAATTATTTGTGCTGTTTTGATGTTTTGAAGGTTTAGCTATAGAAACTGCAACGTAATGCAGCAGGCAATAACGTGATTTCTGTTCACGGCCTTTACGACTGTCTTTGCTTCCGAAAAATTTGCAAGAGTTATTTCATAATATTAGCGTAGGAAGTTAGGTCTGGGTAGCGCACGAAATATTTTGCTTCGTTTAAAATGGCGAGGGGTTGCTGCATGCATGTATTTCTAGTATAGATCTATAGAATGAACGCCGGTTATGCCTAGATTCGGCCATAGGTTCTTGATCTTGTACTGAGAAATCATGACCCTTCGCAATATTAACTTTTCTCACTACCGCTATATTATTTTCGACAATCTAGCTCATACGCAAATAAAATGCGCCTTTGTTGGCCTTAGAAAAAGACTCTCTCTATTTATAATTATAATAAGATTAATACCATTTTTTTCCTTATTAGATGAATATATTACACAATGCCACGAAAAGCTTGACCTTGGGTTTATATTGGACAGCTCTAGTAGCATCGGACGAACCAATTATGGCAAAATGAAATCGTTTGTGAAAGATCTCACCAGTCATTTCGTCATTTCACAATCATACACAAGAGTTTCGGTTATATCATACGCGTCCTCATCCTCGTTAAATTTTCCATTTTCACGTGTATTTGCTTCTCGACAAGATCTTCATTCAGCAATAGATAACATTCCCTACACTGGTGGTGGTACTAATACCGCTTCAGCCATGGCACAGGCGTTGTCAGAGATGTTCCATTCTATGAATGGGGCCCGACTTTCAGGTGGGTTATAAATAATTCCAAAACTGCACTCGGTTAAGAAAAAATATTGATGAATTTTATAAAATTAATTTAACGTTGCATAATTCCCTGGCATACCAATTCCTAAAAACTGTCAATATGGTGAAAACGATATGGGTTTTGCTGTATGCAACACTGGTAAGGATGATTATCCAAATGATGGTTACGATGATTTACGTTGGGAATTGAGCTGATGTTTAAATTGTTCATTTAAAATAATAAAAATAATGATCACTATATAGAAATGCAGGAAGCTTAAGCGTACGAGTTCTCTCTTCCTCTATTGTATTACTTGTCACTATTGTATTACTTTTATTATTATTGTATTGTTATTATTGTATTACCTACCTGGCTAATTTACGACCTCTCTGACCTTCGCTCCTCCTCATTCTCTGTGGTATAATAACTATATTTTAGTATTATATAATTCTCATCCATGATTGTTAGCTAAAATTTCAAAAACTGCATAATCCCAACAAACATAAATAAAGTATGCTGTACAACATTACGTTTTCAGAGGTACTTTATCGTGCACTTATATACAATTTGATATCGCGGAAATTAGGGGTTATAAAATTATAACTCGAAACACGTACCACTGGTTCACCGAATTGTGTATTTCTTCTGATTTGCTCCAAATGAAACTATACCACTGGTTATGTGAAAACAAGTTCGAATTTCTTCTGAATACGTTCTCTGCAAACCTCATTAAAAACATTATGAAGCTGTAAAATTGAACGATTAGCTTTTATACCGCGTGCAAGCTTCAAATCTTCAGTGCAAGAATATTTTTCTCACCAAAATTGAAGAGTTGCAAATAGAAGAAATCTAATTTTCACGGGTCCACACGATTTAATTTTGGACAAATTTATTGAAAAAAGAGCGAATAAATAAAGATGATAATAATGCTCTATATAATTATACCTCCCTTTAGATGCGAAGAAGGTTTTGATTGTTCTCACTGATGGCCAAAGCAGCGGGAGTGTTGATCTACCAGCCCAGCAATTGAAAAATATCAGAGTGGTGATATTTTCGATTGGAGTTGGCTTTGGGATTGACCAATCAGAACAAGAAACAATGGCATCCGCTCCAGTGGATGATCATGTGTATATGCTTAACAATTTTAATGAATTTTCAACGTTGGCAAGGAAAATGTCAGCGACGACTTGCGATGGTAGGTTTGATGATAGGAATCCTATAACTATTGCCATGTACATGTCTTCTGCAATGCTGTGCATCTGTATGCGATTCATTTCATAGAATAATCCACAAGGAAGCGTTCATCTTTTCTTATAAATTCCATTGTTTAATGTTTCATATAACTGATGTTTCATAGTCACACTCTAAAGGCCAAGAGAGTAAGCTAAGAAGAGACAGTAGGCTTTCTTTAAATTTATAGAAGTTAAGAAAAAACTTCTCGTCAACCTTCTTCGTGAATTTTCTACCCATCTTTACTTTCTTCCTTCCTCGTAATTTCCTCCCCGTTTTGACATTATTCCTTTTCCCTATCCAACATTAATCCAACTTTTTTTATTCTTTATTCCGCTTCTCTCTTTCTCCTTCTTTCCAAACTTTATCTTCTTCCTCGCCTGCCTTCACTTCCTTTCACCTAATCTTTCTTCTTCATTCCACTATTCTCGAATTCCCGCCAAATGGTCTGCTTTCCTTGTAATTTTGAAATACTACTTTTCTCTCTCTTTAGCTATCTCATACCTGGTTATATGCGAGAAAGATAATATCGAGGTGATAATTGGAAGGCATGAAGTATCAAACATTGATCTTAACAACATCCATCTTGCTGATAGTTCGTGTAAGGCAAGCTACAATGCATCGCACGTGTTTATAACGACGGCGTTGAATGAATGTGGAACGACGTATTCGGAGACGGATCAACAAATGTTCTATAACAATACTTTAACTGCTACAGTTCTAATCCCTCTAGGTTCTGTTATTACAAGAGAAAAATCATTTGCTTTCAATTTCAAATGTGCTTACAGTCGTTTAATCAGTGTCAGCGGATTAAAATTTGAACCTCCGAAGCCAGAGATAGTAATTAAACAGAGTAAGTATACTTGTTTTGATTCATTTTGGCTAAAACTAAGCTGCCTTCGACCAAATTTGATGTCACATGATAATATTAATAACGCCAATATCATTCATTATTAATACTGTCTCGGAACAATTTAAAGTGTTGTGTATTTAAAGTGCTAGTATGCTAAAATGGGAATTCTACGATATTTTCCATTTAATATTCCATCAAATAAACACTCAGACACTCAATCTAAATTGACCATGAATAGTAATAAATCATTTTTAACACAACTTTCTCGATACATCATTTTAGGCAGTTTTGGAAACTTTACCGTGAATTTGGGTTCCTACGCCGATGATGGTTTTCTTTCCTCTTCTTCGGAGGATTATCCTGCGTTTAAAAGCTTTTCCGACCGTATCAACATCCAGTATTATGTGGATACCCAAGACTCTGATATAGTTGTACGCGCCGAAACATGTCGTGCAACACCAAGTAGCAAGCCCTACGACACACCCCAGTATGAATTTATCAGTAACGGGTAAGATTTCGAGTGCTTCGCAAGGACACTTTTTCATAAAAATGAATTGAGACTCAAACGGGAAAACCAGTATACTTGCATTCGTAAAAAAACCTTTGTGTTGGCTGCCACTCTCTTTCTCTTTAAAAGGGTTATAGATTTAAAGAAAATCATTCTTGTCAACAAAATGCAAAACATGTATGGCTCTTCTCAATTTTTTGGCGTAAACGTTTTTATCACGTTTCTCGCCAGGGTCGTCGCTAGAAGATTAGGGAGCTTTAGCAGTGACTGCGAGTACGACTACGAGTACGAGATTCGTCATCCTCGCGCGTTGTTTGTTTACGCCATCAGCCAAAACTCGTAGTCGTTGGGCTTTTGAGTACGAGTTTTTTGATAAATTTCGTACTCAAAAGCCCAACGACTACGAGTTTTGGCTGATGGCGTAAGCAAACAACGCGCGAGAATGACGAATCTCGTACTCGTAGTCGTACTCGTAGTCACTGCTAAAGCTCCCTATTAATCGAGTGGCGGGGGAGCATATTCGTATATTCGTTTTATGCCCGACTAATTTCTTTTATTAACTATTGTTTCTATGGTTGTACGAACATGAATATACGAATATACTCCCCCAATTAAGCTTCTAGCGACCGCCCTGCCTGTGTTAGCTGGCTCTAGGTCCAACTTATGTAGTGTTTGTATTTGATAGGAAAAACCCCAATATGATACGGCGTATATACTTCTACAAGCATAGGCGTACGAACCTGAAGCTTATGCCTAGGGACAATGAATGGATATGCTAAACATTCGGCTACTCCATATAGGCACACTTTATTTGGAAAATAAATAACTTTAAACTAAATTTGTAGTAACTTCCGTACAGTAACTCGTGGGGGAGTTAGCTCAGCAAATTTCCCTCGTGTGCGCATAGTTTTCGTGAGGAATTCGCCTCAAGAGGCAAGTTTTTCTCGTGTGCGGATGGTTTTCCAGCTGAGCTAAATGCCCCGGAAGTTTCTATTCTTCCTTTCTATTTTCACTACAACCTGCAGAAATTATTGTATTCAGAACTTCTTTAATATCGTTATCATAAAAAACGGAGAGATTATTAAGCATTTAGAGTTTCCCTATGTGTATCCATGCATATATTTTTATGCGAGAAATATTTAATTATAATTTTATATTGCAGCTGTGACAAAGATTCGACTATCACTCACTTTACAAGCGGTTTGCAGAAAAGTCACAGATTCAGTATCCAAGTTTTCAGATTTGTTACCAACGACACCTTTGTTTACATTCATTGCGACCTTCGATTATGCAACAGAAACATCCATGGTTCCATTTGTGCTAAACGTACCAGCTGCTCGGAAAGACGAAAACGTAATGCACCTATTTTTGATGTTGCTGATCGTAGCTACCAACTTTCAATTGGCCCCATCGTGTACAGGGAGGAGAAGACGAGAAAGCAAACAGAGGAAAAGGACGAGGACAAAAATCAAGGTTCACTCACTCAAAGTTATTTCTCAAGCGCTTATGGCAGCGGCGGATTAGTCATGTTTAAAATTATACTATACCGTTCATCAACGTTCATCTACAAAATGTAATTAGATAATAGTGGCATCTAAAAAGTAGAAGCTAATGCACACGCGAATTAAAATTAAAATGTTATAAATTTCTAGAAAACGTGACCGAATCTGGGTCCAGTCTGAATACGATTATGATTGTCATGCTGGTTTGTGCTGGGGTTATTGTTGTTCTGTTATCTCTAACTGTCGTCGTATTGGTCAGAAGACGTGGTAGAGGAAATTCTACAACATCCGTTGAGAAGGTTGGAATGGAATGCTCTGCTGGTAAAGTGGAAGAACTTGACATCAGCAACGTGGCAGGGAAGTAATGAATTAATAATAAAAGCAAAATATAGTGTGATTAAATTATTCTATTCATCATTTCAATTTTTTATGCCAAATGTTACATGTGCTAACATTGGTGAACATGAAGTAAACTATGTAATCAGAAATTGTGTTTCTTCTATTGAGCAATAAAATTACATATTGTCCATTTTTATTGCGACGTGTTGTATTATAAATCTCTGATTAAATAGCAGTTGAAATAGCAGTTGAACCTGCGATGAGTACACAGCGGGGAAAAACAAGGGTACACAAACAAGGGTACACATATCCAGAACGTGGCAAAGACGAGGTTTAACGTTTAATTGCCAGCATGTATATAACATTAAAGTTTTATTGCTTCATATCCTTTACAACAATTTTATTAGCTTCTAAGTAATTCTGCGTCTAACATTTCTGCGCATGCCGTTGATTATTCACCGTGTATAAAGTAAACTGAGCGGGAGCTAACGGCCCAACTTCGCGTTTTCTTTCTAGTACGTGCTGCATGGTCTTTCCACTCACTTTGAAATAAGCGTCACTGTCAAATAAGCGGCGCACTTAAGTAAACGCCTCGTCTTCAACTCGGAATTTGTAATAAGCGCGGCAGCGCTTAATCGATAATTTACGGTAGCTTCGCCTCGTCCAACGAGGTGACAAAAAGATCTGCTGAAATCCAAAAAGTAAAATTTTATCGGCCAGGTGGAACAAAGTATTCTAGAACATTCTATTTTTGCTGTTTTGAATTACCTCAGCAAATTCGATAATAATTTGATCGGCCAGGTGGAACAAAGTATTCTAGATTATTCTATTTTTGCTGTTTTGAATTACCTCAGCAATAATAGGCATTTTTGTCGAGGTAAGCCTGCATGGGAGAAACGTGTATTGCACGTGATGTGAAATTACTGGAATAAAACACAGAAACCGCAGAATTTATTAAATATTTAGTTTGTGAAATCGCTTTTAAATTTGGAAATGCAATGAAAAGTAAGAAAGCAACCAATTTTGCCAATGCATTTATAAACACAGGAAACAGAAGTTAGGCTGTGTTGTACGTTGCGACATAGCCAGGCACAGGCGTGCCAGAGTTGTCTTACTCTGCCAACAATTTCGCATCAAACAACACCTGTCCAAAATACAAGCAACCTTAAAAAACTTCTTCAGGGCAGTTAGTCATACCTATACTAACGTCGTGAAGATTTAAACGTCGAGTATTGTTTTCCTATTCTATAAAACACTCTTGCTCACATGCGACGGGAATGTATCGCTTGAATTCCCGGTATAGCATCAATCAGGCTACTGTTCTCAGCTAGCTGCTGGGCTAACAGTTGTGATATTCTTTCATATTATATTTAATGCGGCAATTAGCTCAAATGCGTATTCCAATGTTTGGTCAACACAGCTATATGTTTTAGGAAAAAAATGTTTTATGATGCAATAACACATTCGAAGCGATTTTCGTCGCATGCACTGAACATGAATTAACGTGTCTGTGGTTTAGCACTTTAGCCGTAGGGGAAATATCTTTAAAAACCATATCGAGCTGATAATTTCGGCAAAAAATTTCCGCATTTTCATAAAATAAAGGTTATTCCAAATAGATTCATCATGTCTATTAAATATTTCGGCAAAAAATTTCCGCATTTTCATAAAATAAAGATTATTCCGAATAGATTCATTATGTCTATTAAAAATTTTGACAAATACACAACCAAATTTAAGCACTATACATGTATAATTCGATTCATCTTTGTGTAGACACTATTTTATTGCATATATACACCTAAAGAATAATAAACTGGTTGAAAAATTGAGCGGTATATGGGCTATTTAAGCGACATATACTCCTTAGAACACCACTGCATAAAACTAAAGGTCCTCCGTGGTAAAAGAAGTAGGCATTAATTACCATCATAAAGATTCAAAGGGTCAATTCGGTCGAGTGAATTCGATCTTGCTCAAAGTCAACAGGATTTCGAAATATATCTACAACTATAGGGGGTCGAAAATTTGAAAAAGTAAATTTTATATCTTATCTTATGTCTTTCATATGAATATATCTTAGGGAATTAATGTAGCTGTGAGGATCTTTATCAAAAACGGATTCAGGCCCCGTTCACGCGGTTCACACGGGTTGCCGTTAGAGCAGGCAAAATTTTGAAGTCAATGAAAGAAGATTTTTACTGTCCAAACTGAACGACCTGAATAATCAGAATAAATATACCAAATCTATCAAATTGATAAGTATTTGCTAATCATGGTTGCTTCATAACGGCAAACGAAGGTGTCGTGACGAGCGAATCCGGTATACACCGTCGGAGGGGCTATTGTTTATTCGCAATAGTCGTGCATATCTGATATATATGTTTAATTAAAGAGTAAATACGTGCAGGCCAAATGTGTCACAAACAATATTAAATCCAACAAACATTAAATTGTGTATGTTTAAGAGATGCCTTTAAAGACTAAACATCGGCGGATTCAGCACTCAGTTTGATTATGCTGTGCGAGCTATCTAGCTAATACGTAGTTCATCTTTTCTTATGATAATGCATGCATGGACGTGACCGAACCTGTCTCTTGGTTTCGATTCCTGTTAGAATCATGTTTGCTAAAACAATATTATTAATTTTGTAATTTGTATGAATATTTGGAAGGATATTGAACGAGTTGGAAAACATTGAGATTGATTTCATGGCACATGCAGATGCAGATATTAGCTATAATTCCTATAAACTTCAAAACAGAATGGTTTCGATTTAATTTTATAAGTTGCACATTTTGTTTCCCGATATGACATTATCATAGAATAATTATTGCATTGACAAGTCCTAAAAAATGCATCCATGAATATTTCTGAAAACATTCACAATTAATGAGGAACGCTTAGGAAGGTGAATACTAATCAATGCATGGTAATGCTTGTAAACCACGTTGGCTTGATTTAGATCTCATTTTTGCTTTTAACAATAATCAGGTCGTTGTTACAAATCATGTTGCAATTGCTACATGAAAGTCATCTGAAATTTACTTCCGATCATCCGTTTGAATATTTATTGGGAAAGGATTAAATCAGCGTTTACTTGGAAAGCGTAAGGGGGGAAATATAAAGGTATACTATATACCATAAAAATAATATTTTAAAACCACCAAGGTTATTCACTATGATGATGTGACAAAATACATCATATTTGAGGGCTCAGGGAACATGATTGAGTCAGCAACCATAAGATTTGCATACCATTCATTCTTATCATGCAAGCTTTCTATGGGGTAAAACAAGGAAATGCAATTAGCCCACAGGAAGACTTGGCCGAGTGATAAAGCGATATTTCATTTTCCTGCTCACATTACATCACTTCGAGTTTCAAGAGGGAAGGATCCAAGCTCATTATCAAGTGCTACTTTAATTTGAAACGGTAAACTCTTTACTAATGTTTTTACTAACTATGTATATAAGTTTTCTAACAATATTCTGCATTCTGTGAAAACATTCTCACTTTTACGCAAGGCGTAAAACGAATAAGCAAATCCGATACACGTATATGCAAACATTTTCTTTGCTTTGTTGCCGCTTATTTTTAAACAGCACACTAAGATTTATGCTACGTCTTTTCAGATGAAGGGAAACTAAATATTTTTGTTTTCGCGCGGTTTTTTGAGCATCAATGATTTGGAAATGTGACGTCAACTATGAGGAAGAACGCTACGTTTTCCTTTCGACACATAACCAGGCAAAAAACCCGTGCTTGATGCGTAACAGTTTTACGATCAACGATGTCGATGATAATATAGGTATTTTAATTCACGTGGATTTTCAGTATTCTGAAGTAAAAATATCAGTTATTGCTTTTTGAGATAAATTAGTCTAAGATGAAGCATTTTTAACTGAGTTTTAAACATACAAATTATAATATACATTTAGCATAAACGGGTATTTAAATATCATTGGTATTTATCACCTAATCCTACTTATTTTTTTCTTACCACAAAACGAAACACAAAGATAAACATGAAAGAATCGAACTCTTTATTACATATCGTTCATATTGAGGTTGGCTTATTTTATGCAAAAGAGTTCATTAAGGATTAAGATTCATATATATTAATTAATACCATACTGAAATCCCTCATGATTGCCATTGTATGTGCAGTGCATTTGTATAGGTAGCTACGAATAATTGAAGCAACGTTTCTACGTTTTAAACGAACGAACTACGTTTTAAAGACATATAGCTAGTGTGTTTCGTTCCGGTAAAAACGATGACAAACTTGATAGTTTGACACGTATACTCATATACTCATGTCATAATGTATACATGTAGCCCGATGAAGATTCGTGGATAATTATTCTCATGCACCAACGATATCCACGCGCAATATCCACGCTGTTCGAGAGCGGATGCACCAATAAATACAAACAAACTAGCAATATAAACTTATAGTTATAGAATTAAAGACGGTGAAATTCATAAGATAAGCGTTTCTTTACACGTTTGGTAAAATCAGATAGTGTTGCTTGCATCAAGATCAATGGCCCTGTGGTGACACTGAACTTAATTTACCTTTCATTTTGTGGATATACTTCTTCTAACGTAGGCCCCATAGACTCGTATACATATAGACGTATATAGACATATATATAAACACTGAAATCCACAGGGTCCTGCACTTTCATCTTTCATTTAATTCAGAAAATCTATTAATGATTAACTCTTTTCTAAAATCGAGTGCAAAAATTATAAATACTTCTCGAAATATGAAGAAGGAATTCGAAGAATAACCCTTCTTTATAAGCTGGCAATTTTCAATAATTAATTAATTTCCATATGCAAATTCATTGTAATTCCGTTGCCATAGCATTACAGGCATACGATCGAAATAGTTAGCAATGGCAGAAATCCTAAAAACTGCAGCTGATTTATTTCAGTTTTAAGGTGCAATAATTCTTCATATTAATCAAGCAATTAGCTTTATAATATGTTTTTATGGCTATAGTTTTTAAATA